GGTGCGGACGGNGATCACTAGCTGTCTTTATAGTATAAATATTAAGCAGCTGCTATTAGTAATTATATAAGTAGCTAAGGCTTATAAGTTAGGCTAAATATAGGTATTAAATAAGGTATAGAAATAAGCTATAAAGTTATAAAGTCTAATACTTTTATAAAAGGGCTAGGTAATAATAACCTTTAGTATAGTAATTAAAAAAAGCCTAGCTAGGCTATAAAGGCATTATTAAGTAATACTAAGGTAATTAAATAGCGCTTAGTATATAATAAACTATATATAATATATATAATATTTAAATTATTTTATATTAAGAATATCTTTAATATATTCTTTAAGGTAATAAAGGTAATATTAAAGTGTATTACTATTATTAAAGTATAAAAGGTAATAATAATAGTATAAACAGCTTAAGAAAGTAGGTATTATATTTATAAATAGCGCTATTATAAAACTAGTATTTAAATTATTATATTCTCTTAATTTAGTAAGGTTAAGTTTAATATATTTATTAAGGGCTTAGTAATTAAAGTTATTATTATATTAATAAAAGGCCTTTTTATTATTAGTAAGTATTAAGACTATTTTATTATTAGCTTATATTATATTTACTTATTTTACTTAGTGCTTAAATTTTTAAAAATAAACCTTAGGTCTTTAAGGCTTTTATTTTTTAAAGGTAATAATAAGGTTAGCTATATAGCTGTTTTATTAAGGCTTATTAGCCTATTTAGTATTAATAAGCTTTTTATAAATAGGAAAATCTTATAATTATAATTAATTATATTAAGGTTAGGCTTAATATTATTAGCTATAATTATTATTATAATTTAAGTCCTTACTAGCTTAAGAGCTACTAGTAATTTATTTATATTATATAGTGGCTTTATTATTAAGCTTTACTAACTATTAATAAAGAATAATATATTAATTAGGCTTAGGGATTTTAAAGTAGAGATAGGCTTTTAATTTATTTTAAACTTAAAATAAGGTAGACTTATTAAATATAAAACTATAAGCTTTAGTAAGATAAATAATATATATAGTAAATATATATATATTATTACTGCAGTAATAGGCTATATAATTATAATATATAGCCTCTAGTTCTTATTATATAATACTAATATCTATCTTAAATTAAGCAGTAAGTACTTTAATTTATAAGTATAAAGATAGTTTTATATAGCACTTATAAATAACTAATTTTAATAATTAGAAATAATATTAGTTAAGGGCCTTGCCTTTTAGTAATAGTATTATATTTTTATAAATATTTTACTAAAAGCCTATTATTAAATAGTCCTTAAGTGTATTAATAAAAAGAAAAATATCTTTATAAAAGTGCTTCTATCCTTTATAAAAGATATCTTCCTTTTTAAAGGCATTAGGCTAGAAAAAGCTAATATTAGCTAGCTTAAACTTTCTAATATAAGATAAGGGGTCTTTATTAAATAATATATTTAAGTCTATACTTAAGTTAAAGGATAATAATAATATTAATAATAATATTATATATTACTAGTAGTAGTAATTCTAGTAGTAGTTATAATAATAATAGCTATAATAAAACTTATATTTAGCTTAATAATATACCTTAATATTATTAAAAAATTAAGTTAAAAAGAAGGAGGATAATAAGTAATAGTAGTAAGATTTATACTAGTTTTAAAAAGAGGGAGGCAGCTTAATACTATTACTTATTAAAAAAAGTAAACTATTAATATTAATTTTATTACTATAAGTTAGCTAATAGTTTAAAAATATAAAATAAAATACTAGTTTTATTAATATATATAAGTTATAAAGCTAGGCTAATTATTTATTTTTTATTTACTATAAGTTAAGTATATATTATATATTATTAGTAGTAAGGTTATAATTATATAATATTTTTAAAATAGTAGACTTTTTTATAAATAAAAGTAAGGCAAAGCCTGCTTTATTTTTTAGTTTTTTAATATAGCTACTGCTAGTTATATTAAAAAAATACTATTATTAATAGTAAATACTTTTTAAAAAGGCGCTAATAAGTATAATACTATACTATTTATATAAGTAGAATAGTAATTATAAATAAGGCTTTAAGAAATATAAAAGTCTATTAGCTAAGCTATTAAAAAAAAGGGATAATAAAAATAAAAAGAAGAAATAATCCTTAAGTAAGTTAAGCACTTATTAATAAATTGCCTAAAAAGCATTTAAAGGAGATAGGGGGTATAAAGGTTAAAAAGTATAAGGTAAAGAAGAAGAAAAAAAAGAAATTAAGTTAAAAAAGGGGGGGCTAGGAGATAGAATAAATAGCTATTTTTAATAAGTATTTGCAGTAATAAGTTAAAAAAAGGTAAAAGGGTGTTATTATTATATAAAGGCGCTAGTAGCTTTTATTAATAGTTAATATAATTAAGATAAGTTAATAAAAGTATTAATTACTAGTAGTATATTTTATTAATAAAAGGTAGTAGACTAGTTTAGTAAAAGTAATGCCTAGTTAAGGAAGGCATTAATAATTAGTAATAGTTAAGCTATTATTTTATAAACTAATTTAAAAGGGTTAATATTTATTAATATTATACCTAGTGCAGCTACTAAATTAAGAAAGAAGCTTAACTAACTAACTTAAGAAAGGTAGCTATAAACCTAGGCTTAAGGTATATAGTTATTAAATAGGCTATTAGTAGTAAAGGTAATAACCTAGCTAGTTAAAAAGTCTTTAAAGTAAAAAGAAATTAGTAAATTTATAATAAGTTATATTAGTAGTAAAATATTTATAGCTTATTTAAGGAGAAACTATTAAAATAAAGGCCTTATTAATTTTATTAAGCAGTAAGGATTTAGCTAGTAATAAGTAAAGGTTTAAGTATAATAATATTAGTAAAAATATAACTTATTAAATAAGGAAAAATAGCATTAAAGTAAATAGTTATTAGCGCAGGCCTTTAAGAAATAAACTATAGCCTGTATAGTAATATTAAATATAAGGTCTTTAATAATATTTAGTATTAAAAAGGGGAAGGATAATAGCAGCTAGCGCTTAAATAATAGCTAGTATTAAGGAGTAAAAGTTATAAAATAAAGGCAGTAAGTAATAACTAGTGTTAATATTAAATAAGGGTAATAAAGGATAACTAGTGTTAATATAAATAGTATTTATTTATAACTAGTATAGATAGTAAATAGTAGGTATTTAAAGGCAGTATTAAATAGTAAGTAAGGCAACTAGCTAGTAAATAAATATATTAATAGCTTAAGGTAGTGTAATTACTACTAATTATTATAATAAAATACAAGAGTATATAAAAAGAAGCTTAATTCTTAACTAAACTAAACTATAGGCATTAAGAAGAGTAACGCCTAGTATATAACTAAGCAGCATCTCCCTGTTAATAACTATTGTTAAGACACTTATCCTAGGGCAAAAGCAGCAGAAGTAGTAGAAGAAGCAGCAGAGGTAGTAGCATTAGCAGAGGTAGCAGCACTAGCAGAGGTAGTAGCACTAGCAAAGGTAGCAGCAGCAGGGCCTCCTTATAGTTATCTATAGGTTCTAGATTACAGCTAGCTATGCAGAGATTATAAATAACCTGGCGATAGTTAAAAGCTAATGCCGCTGCTACCTTATGCCCTTCTCCTTATAATATCTCCGTGATGGTAATAACTGCTAGTATGCTATACTATATTTTTATATATAGGCATGGACCTTACCACCTGGGGGTGTCCCTCTAGCTATAGCATAGACCACTATAGTTTAAATAGGAATATGCTATGGTTCAAATAGGATTACTCCTTTAAAAACTTAGTATGAGACAAACTCCATCTAGACAGTTCTCGCAGAGGTTATTATTCACAGAAATGCCGGCGGCAATGTTCGCCACGCCCTCCGCAACATGATCATCTTAGATGAAGTCCTGGGTCTCAAGGAAATTGCCCTTGTCCATCACACTGACTGCAGCACCCTTCGATTTCGAGATGATGACATCCGACGGTCCCTCAAACTAAAGACAGACTCCCAGTATTGGCCTGTCATTGATAGCATGCATATGGGCGCAATCACCGAGTATGTCACACTAGTTGTCTGATTACGGGATCAAGGTATAGAGACGCTCTCGCGTTAACATGCAAATGGTAGTGTCGAACATAGTGTGCGTGATGACCTTGAGTGGCTTGAAGCGACGCCTTTTGTAAGGAAAGACTTGACGGAAAGAGCACGAGGTCTCGTCTTTGATGTTAAGACGGGGCTGGTGAATCCGGTCACTCAGTAGACGAGCTCTATTTGCAGGGTGAAAGCGCCTCTGATACGAATGTTATTATTGAGCGATGTATCCAGTTGGGTAATGACAGACGTTTTTAACTTTTGCTTTTCTTACCAGTGTTCCCCGATTACGAGGTCCATAAAGACACTCAGTCATCCTCGGCATCGCGAGGATCATGAGTCTTCCAATACTTTTCATAATCCTCCCAAGTCTGCGCAGGAAAAGCGAGCGGCACAGTAATCGGCCCAAACGGAATCCCCGCCTTCTCAAACTCGTCAAGACGGGCCCTGGTCAACGGACGGGTCTTGTTGATGCTGTACACCGAGATTCGATGACACGAGCTCGTAACGTGCAAGCCCCAGTTCCAGGCCGTACGGACATTGGGCGGCTGCGTGTTCAGAGCATTGTCCCAGCAACGACACACAATCTCAACCCAGCCCTCGGGGTCGCAGGGGAGTTCAAACTGCCACGTGCGCCATGTCCATCTCCGCTTCTTGGAGAGATTGTCGACGGGGACCGTGTACCAGTTGAAGCCTCCGTCGGACGACAGCTCGACCCGCTCAGGCCATCGACCGCCTCCAGAGTACGCCCAGCCCTTGCATCGGATCTTGCCATTGTGAATGCACACTTGCTTGTGCCACGGCGACATGATGGCGGAGCTGACGGGCATTTCCTGGATCTGGATGCCGTCGGTGAGCTTGAAGTTGTGCTTCCCGACCTGCTGGGGGAAGTATAGATATTCCTGACTTTGGACTGGCGCTCGAGAAGGCTGCTTGATGGCCTTGATGCGGTAGAGCCACTTGACGCTCCTGGCACCGATGTAGCCAAAGACCATGATGCGGAGGGGGAACCCGTGGATGGCAGGGAGAGGCTCGCCATTCATCTCCCAGGTAAGCATCACTTCGTTTGCCTTGACCTTGGAGTAGGGAATGCTGACAAGGTAGTTCATTGTCTTGTCATCCTTGAAGTAGGTGTCGGCACCGTAGAACTCGAGGTGCTTCGCTCCCTCAACCAAGCCTCCGCATTCCTTAATCACCTTCTTCATACTGATTCCGACGTATTTTGCAGTTCCAATAGCGCCCTCTGCCCAAGGCGCCTGAGGAACTTCGTCGCCTTGGCCGGGATACTTGAGAATTTGCTCAATACGTCGGGTACCAGAGCATTGCATAGTAATGATCTTCTCCATTCGTGGGAACCTAGACTCGTCCATGAGGTCGTTTAGGGTGTACTCGCGAGGCTTTGCAACGAAACCATCCACGACAAAGCTGTACTTGTCCTTGTCAATCAGAGGGATGCCTCCGTGATTTCTCACGAAATGGAGAGGGTTGGGGGTGATCTCCTTGTCAGTGACGAGGCGCTTGGGCGGTTCTCCGTTATACGGGAACTGCAGAAGGTGAAGCATATCGGGATGCTTCTCCTTGAGGACGGTGGACCAAGAGTCCTCGGGAATGTTGGTCAGCTCGCCCCCGACCGCATGATGCCACATCTTCCAGTGAGTGCCCGGAAGGACAGGGTTGGTTCCGGGGATAGGGCCAAGCTGGAATTCCGGATTGGGTGGAAAGGTCTGCGATGTCAGGATCTTGTGGGCGGCTGCTTTTTTCTCGGGATAGTTCTCCCACTCGACAAATCTAGAGCGCATCTCTATCAGTCTCTCACAGTTAAAGTTACTGCTTGATATCTTAGGCGAAGCGACTTACCCAGTCCAGCCTTCTCTCTCTCTGGTGAACAATTTGTTGGGATCACCGACAGACTTGATCGCCTCCTCATCCTTAGTACAAGGGCCGAAGACTTGGGGGACCAGAGGCTCCGTCTGAGGTTTGGTCATGTCCAAGACTGGAAGCTCGGCCCCCGCAAGTCCCTGCTCAATCTTCCACTCATCGGGACGGTTAGAGGTCTTCTCGACCTTGACTTGAGGCTTCGCCACCTGAGCCATCTTGGGTACGGTTGACAATTGAGTTGAGGTTTTTGCTTGGTTGCTGTCTTGCGGTCTGGCCGAGCTTACTTGTAGAGAACAATACCACAACCCGCTTATATCCCGTTCATCCCGCAGTGAGCTTCAATCGCCTCCCTCTATCATCCTGGTGCCGAAGAGACGTGCCACAATGAGTCGGCCTATCTGAAGGGGCGTCAAGGCCAATGCAGCACCCCAATCGATCCAATCAAGGACTCGACATTACGAGATACGCTTTCTTGGGCACAGCGTGGCTTGCTGAGCTTCACAAGGCCCTCGAGATCGGATTGGTGCAGAAACCGAGCTTCATTTCTCGCTCGCAGCTCAGCTCAGAACGCTAGCCCGAACTCTCCTCCTTAGCCACATCTCTTGCGTGTAGGATATCTCATCACATCTCGAGAGCCGGCTACATCGGGAGCAATGGAAACAAGAAACAGTGCGGGGTGATCAGCCATTGATGCATCGAAGACGAGAAAGGAAGATGATGATACGAAACTCTACTGACGGGCTGGATAGTCGCTTTTGTGTTACAAAAGGAAAACATCTTCAATCAGGTGTAAGATGGGAATCGTAATGATGATTCCCAGTATATTCTTCTGATCAAAGCAATCGCCCCAACAGGCATCATGGTAAACAATTGTCCTCACAACTCTTGGGAGACGACCTCGTGGCTTACTCTTCACTACAGGCGACCTCGGACAATCCTGTTGTCACCCTGGCCAATGGTGTGTATCAATCTAAGTGTTTCCACCCCTCCAAAACTATCACGCAAGCTCACTCTTTGTTCTCTAGGCCAGCCAAGTTCCGGCCCAGGCGTAGTGAGGCAAATTCGCTATGGCGATACCAATGGTGGATTGGTCGTCCTAAGCGACACCCAAACCATTGAAGTCCTCGCACATTTCGCCCGCGAACGCATCCCAGAGAGGTGGGGAAGACTCATCACTCATTCTCACTTACAAGAACAAATAGCTCACTATCGTTAACAACAGGAGCGTGCACGCAAAGGCTGCCGGGGCCTTTGGCGAGTTTGAAGTCCTCGAGGACATCTCTGACCTCACTGACGCAGACTTCCTCACTGGCATCGGCAAGAAAACCAAGCTTCTCACTCGCATCTCGACCGTCGGCGGCGAAAAGGGGTCCAGTGACACCGTCCGCGATGTCCGCGGCTGGGCAACAAAGTTCTACACCCAAGAGGGCATCCAGGACTTTGTCTTCAATGATCTCCCCGTCTTCTTCATCCGGGATCCGATCAAGTTTCCGTCCATGAACCGCAGCCACAAGAGGCACCCTCAGACCAATGTGCCTGACAACTCCATGTTTTGGGACTTTCACAAGAACAACCCTGAGGGTATCCATGCTTTGATGCACCTGTTTGGGCCGCGTGGGATCCCGGCTTCTCTGAGAAACATTAATGGCTTCGGCGTTCACACTTACACTTTGAACAAGTCTGTAAGTTGGCCTTATGGGACATGCATTAGAAGATACGCACCAGAGAACAGAAGCCTAACAGCACGTAGGATGGAAGCTATGTCTACGTCAAGTGGCATTTCAAGCCCGACGACGGTATCAAAACCATGGACTCAAAGACGGCTGTCCGTCTCGCCGGCGAAGAGCCCGATTACCACGTCAAGGACCTCTTCAATGCCATCAACAGGGGAGACTATCCGACTTGGTCGGTGTGCATCCAGGTGATGAAGCCCGAAGAGGTCAACTCGGCGCCCATTGACATCTTTGACTGCACATATACTTGGCCGTACGAAAAGTATCCCCTTCGTCGTATTGGTCGCTTGACGTTGAATAAAAACGTAGGTCACCATGGCCATTCCACTTCATCTCCGTGCCTCAGGGGAGGGACAGCACTGACATTCACTCGACATACATGTAGCCGGACAACTATTTCCAGGACATTGAGCAGGCTTGCTTCTCGCCATCCAACATGGTCCCGGGCATCGGCCCTTCAGCTGATCCAGGTGTGTACTCTCGAAATCCATTCTTTCTCACAACTCCACTAACTGCATATATCCAGTCCTCCAAGCACGCATGTTCAGCTACCCAGACGCCCAAAGATACCGCGTCGGCCCCAATTACTTTCAACTCCCGCCCAACCGCCCGATCAACAAAGTCTACGCCCCCTACGTGCGCGACGGCCCGGGCACGATGAACGGCAACTACGGCAGCGATCCAGACTACATCTTCTCGCAGCTGCGTCCCGTTGCGCAGAGCAAGAAAGTGACGATGCCGACGCATGAGCTTTGGCAAGGGCGTGTGATTCCGTTTTCGACGTCCTTCTCGAACAAAGACTATGAGCAGGCAAGGAAGTTGTGGGAGATTATGTGTAGGGAAGGGGATGGAAAGGAGCAGTTCCTGCATAACATCATGCCGACGTTGGTGGATGTTCCGGATCGTCTGAGGAAGGAAGTTTTGGGTAAGTTGATCTATCTTGCACGGTTTCTTTCTGGCATCTTATGCTGACTGCTGTAAAGAATACCTTGGACAGGTCGACCAGACGTTGAAGCACTACTTAGAGCAGGGGCTTGCACAAAGATCCAAGTAGCTCAACACCAGGCTTGGTTGATTGGGGCTGTATATGTATCCATTTACTTGTGTTCAAATGGGGAGGCAAAATGTGAATAAAAGTGCCTATCAGCTCATTACATCGGTCATCAATTAACCTGCTAGATGTGCATGGCTGATAGTGCATGAGTTCTGCCTGCCATCACTGTTATCACATTCTCATGTTCGACTCATTTCTGATTGAGGGTTCAGAAGCTATACAAGTCAGAGAAGGACAAGGTAAGCAATTGAGTCCAGGTGACCACTGAGCAAAGGAAATCGTCTCAATAGCGGTTTACCTCAAAGACTTCGAGCAGCTCCGTGGCATACAACATCTCTTGGGACGTACGGAGTGCCTCATTATCAGTTGCACTCTGAATCTCCCTAAGGGCCTTTGCATAGTGACAAAACTCTACACGATCCTTTTCTCCTTCATAGGCACTAAGAAGAGGAATGCGACGGTGTAAGCCACAAGATTGGGGACAAGTCTCGGGTAGGTATGTCTTCAAGTCTTCCCAACGAAGCATCTACAGGAAGAACTTGTCCAACCGGGATATATGTAATACGGCATCGTTGTCCATCATCTCAATTGGATGCGAAGGTTGGAAACTCGTTGAAGCAATCCCGGGTAGGTCAGCAACTTGCCCAGTGGGCAGTCAACCGCCTGAAGTGCCTAAAGTAATCATTGGTTGGTGTTAGAGCATCTAGACGCCTCTTGGGCATGATATCCTATCAGAGGGCGGCTGCTGAAAATGCTTCATCATAGACGTCACCCTGCTCGTACAAGGACGGCTTCTCGAATACGATGACGACGGGTTCATGGTTCCCCTCAGGCCTCCACCTGATCGGAGCCGCCGTGCGATGGCAATTTCATCTGACAGCACCCAGGATGCTCGGCGAAGTCGGTTGAGGCTGAACAGAGGCGTATACTAATTGCATTGATGTCATCTGCTCATTTCATTTCCATCCTTTCATTATAATGGAGAGCTGCTAAAGATCGGCAGTTGTTGCCCTTCAACTCGCCTCGCTAGAAGGGGTTGGATTGGGGGGGGGGGGATTTTGAACCTGCGTGTCACCGTGTGTATCACCACAGTCGCACAAATGCCAGGCCCAGACCCTGTAGGATGACGAGTAGAAGATGAGCAACTCAACGACCAAGAGCCAGCATCTCGTCCGATGCAACAGTCCAGATCCCGATTGGCCTCGTGTAGATGCACTTTGTCATGCGCAGCTGCAGCTCCCAACAGCTCGGCCAGGCTATAAGGCAGAGAGACAAGGTAGACGCTCGGAATGGGGTCAACGTGCAGCCGAGCCCCGAACCCCCCCCCTCCTGTCGTCTCTTCAGGTTCCATCATACAGCATCTCCACCAGACTACAGGAAGCAAATTTGGGCATCCCTGCTCCCGCCACCGAATCAGCGGCCGCGCCTCCGTCTCCAGCCTGTTCGTCACGGCCGAATCAATGCTCGATCGCGTCCTCAGCCGCAGGGGGTTTCGTGGGAGAAAAAAGAAAAAAGAAAGACCCTGGCCCTGGCCTGGCTGCAGCGCTTGGTGGTAGGTATTGATTGGGGAGTGGGCCTTGCAGCTGTCGAAAGGGGGCCGGCTCATCATCACCAGTTGAGTCGAGTCTGTCTGTCTGTCTGTCTGTCTGTCGGTCTGTCAAATCTCCCCACGAAGCTGCGAGCTATTGTTTGCCGGCTTTGGTTGTGTCTGGCCGCTGCCTGCTCTGTGCGTGCTGTTCAGTTGTGCTCTGTGCTCTGCTTTCTTTGTTCCTTTGTGCTTGTGCGTGCTTGTGTTTCTCTGTGTGAGGTGTCTCGATCTCCGGACCATACTATCAGTTGAGACCACGGCACCGCACATCGTCAACCTGGTACGACCCTCTCTCTCTCTCTTTCAGCCCCGATGGAATTGAACACCGCCTTCTCATCATGTACTTGCATCTCTGAGAACAAACAGACCAAGAGCTAACGCATGCAGCTGATCTGTTAGCCGGCAGCTGTTCTCGAGCAAGACGGTCCAAGCTTGCAACCGCCCGTCTTCGTGTCTCCGCCCTCCTCTTGGTTTGTCGCTTTGGCTGCATCCGAGCGCAAAGCCGTCGCACGCTGGACTCACGCTTCTTCGTTTCTTTTTTTCTACTTCTTTTCCGTCGTGTCTCTCCCAGACCGCTTCGCCTGCATTGGTTAGATCGGCTGCGCTGTGTGAGCGGCAGCGTGTGAGACTTGAAGTGCGTGCGAGGGGGGAAGGGCTTCATGCAGAGCAGAGACGCCCGCCGACAGTTTGTTTGCTGCCGCCGGGGCCAGGAGAACGTGGCTGCGTCTGCGGCTGCATCTGCCTCTGCCTCTGCGTCTGCTTCTGCATCCGCCTGCGTGCCAATTTCACGCTGCGGCAGGGCAAGACACTCGCCGTCACCTCCCCGAGACTCGCAGGCCGTCCGGCCTGTTGGACCAAGACACACCTGCACCTAGTCGTCGCCCTGCGGCTGCCCGCTGCCCGCCATGGACCGCTCCTCTATAGATGCCATGCCTCCCCCTATCCCGCCGCGCGCCCACCGTGTCCATCCCTCGCAGCGCAACCTCAACCGCATCTCGACCGCGCCGACCGCAGCCGCCCGCAAGCGATACGCCATCCAGCCTGGCAGCCCCGAGATCATCTCCAGCCTCATCACCAGCCTGAGTGCCATCGCCGAGCCTGCCAACCACCACTTCGACTCGGGCTTGGCCACCAGCCTGTCCCTACCGACGAGCCCCGATCTCGGCCACAGCTCCAGGAGCGGCTCTGGCAGCTTCGGCGTCGACTACGGAGCCTACAGGCAGTCTTCGCTTCACGACGACCACAGCGGACCCGTCTCCCTCGACGACCTTGCCGCGAGCCCGCCCGTGATCCGCACCTCGAAGCCCCCGAGCGGTTTCTCGCCTCTGACCGCGCCGCAAAGCCCTCGCAGCCATCGCAGCACCAGCCGCGAGAGCGGCTTCAGATCCTTTATACGAAGCGCCGCAAGCTCCCGCCCGTCGTCCACGGGCTCCTTCGCCTCCAAGAATGACGATGCGCGCAGCATTGGAAACCTGTCTGTAGAACGTGGCTCTGCGCCGCATCCGGAGCTCAGGCCGCGCCGCTCGCTCGACAGCTGGGGAAAGAAATCGGGGCGCGGCAGCAAGGTGCTCAGTTATATGGGCTCCAAAGAGCACCTTCGCGAACCACATATTGACAGGAAACGTGCTTCTTCTACCTCAGTTGTTGGCGGCAGCGCAGCAGCATCAGCGGCCAGCACTCAGACCGGGTCCAAGACGGATAACTTCTTCGTGGGAGGCGCCATCACCGAGGAGCCGACAACGGTCACGACATATGATTCACTGCTGGGAGACGGCCTGCATCACATTCCAGTTCGCGATTCCAGCTTGCGCAACTCGAGCTCCAGCAGGAAGCGATCCAGCGCTCGACGATCAGCCAAGGACGGCGACTTGTCCGTGAGCGATAAGATGTTTGAATCCGCCGACTTCAGCCGCCGCGACTCGGTGAAAATGAAGCATCGCCGCTCAGGCTCCGACACTGGCAAGGCGTATTCACACGAGGAGGAGAAGCCTCACCATAAGCCACGGCGGATAGCGTCCAGCACCTACCTGAGCGTGGACTACATCGCGGAAGAGAAGGAGGAGGTCGAGGACGACGGAGCCCCCTTTCCCTCAGTTTCGCAAGGGCGTCGTCGGGATGAATTCGACCGCAAAGACCATCGGCTCTCTACCCGCACACTCCCCAGCCCCAACGAAGCGCTCAAACTGAAGCGCAGCAGCTCCAGGCTGAAGCGCCTCTCGGCGCCCCTCAGTCCGCACGAGACCAAGCGAGCCACCGAGGAGTCCGTTCAGCCCACCAAGCCCACGGGTTACGAACGACCCCAATCAGCCGATTCCATCGATGACGCTGTCGAATCTTACCTCTGCTCTCCGCGGTTGTCTCAGAAGATTCGTCATCCCCAAACCGGCCGCATCATTTCGTTTTCAGAAGTCGGAGACCCCGAGGGCTTCGCGGTTTTCTGCTGCGTGGGAATGGGCTTGACGAGATACATCACTGCGTTTTACGACGAGCTGGCGCTGACGCTCAGGCTTCGCCTTATTACGCCAGACCGACCGGGAGTGGGGGACAGCGAGCCCTATGCTGATGGGACAAGCACTCCCCTCAGTTGGCCCGGTGAGTGCTGTTCGTACATGATTATGGATGCCTGCATACTGACCTTGTTGCAGACGATGTATATGCCATTTGCCAAACGCTCAAAATCACCAAATTCTCCCTCATGGCCCATTCGGCTGGCGCCATCTACGCCCTGGCCACGGCTCTCCGCATGCCCCAGCACATTCGAGGCAAGATTCACCTCCTTGCGCCATGGATTCCGCCCTCCCAGATGAACGTCTTCGGATCCTCCCAAGTCTCGCCGCCATCGCACACGCTTCCCACGGCCCAGAGAATTCTACGGGTTTTGCCTACTTCGTTTCTCAAAGCAGCCAATAGCAGCTTCATGTCAGCGACCAGCTCATCCATCACAAGCTCCCTGCCCAAGAATCCCCGGCGGGCAAGACGGAAAACGGGGACCAAAGAAAGCAAAAATGCTACGCCATCTGCCGACAAGGAGAACATCAACCATGCCGCAGATGGCAAAGACTCATATGGCACACTTGCCAGCGAAGACTCGGCAGTCTCCAATGCCACGGATGCCACAGACAAGGCACTGCCTCAACCCCCACTGGATAATCAGGCGACAAGCTTCTCCCCTTCAGTAGATGCCCTCGCCGAAAAGGAGCGACAACAGACGTACGATATCCGCCTAACCCACGCCATCTGGGACCTCGCCACGACGAACGCGAACCCAGCAGTGGACTTGCTCATCTGCCTGGAAAGGCGGCATACCATCGGCTTCCGCTACGTCGACATTACGCGCCCCGTGATTATCCGTCACGGCAGCAGGGACACCAGAGTGCCCGTCGAGAACGTCAAGTGGTTGGGCAAGACGATGCGCCGGTGCGAGGTCCGCGTGCTTGAAGGGGAAGGCCACGGATTGATGGCCAGCGCCACGGTGATGGGCTCCGTGCTGATGGAGATCAGCAGGGAGTGGGAAGACGTCCAGGCTGAGGCGTTGAAAGAGCGCGAGAGGGGACGACGAGGAGCTCCAGCAAGGTGAAGGTGTGAATCGACCTCTACCGATTTTCAATTCTACACAAAGCCCGCCGCGAGGGTGAGGCTGTTTCCTTTCTATTCAATCATTTATCAACCTTTTTAATATGGCAAGCTAGGATATTAGAGCTGGACTTAAGCAGAACATACAGTCTTGGACCGCTGGATCTTTGGATAACATCTAGTCGGCAGATGGCTAATTCCATGTGCAGAAAAAATCTAGGAGGAAGGAAGAGGATGAAGATACCCCCCCGGAGGAATATATGGAGATAGAAGGAGGAGGAAGTTGCTTTACCTAGCTCGGTATGAGAAATATGCGATGAACTATCTTGCGGCTTTTAGATATATATTTGTCTGTTATACTGTGTATACTACATGTACCTACTAATCGCGCGTTCCATGTCGAGGTCTGATCTGTTTCAGCGTACATGGCGGCGTTAATATCAAGCTTCTATTCCTGCTGACCTGTGAGTCTCTCGAATGTTATCATTGCGCTTCTTCTGCCTTCTGTACATCTACCAACCAAACCACCACGACCCTGCCCAGACCCCTTGTCGAAATATCACACACAAACATCCTATAGCACACAAGATCACAATCAACACACAGGGCAATCAAGCATCAGCCAACACCCTCGTCCAATCAAACTTCCTCCACCCCTTCTTGAACCCCTCAACCCTCCCGTCAACCTTTGCCCACCGCCCCTGCTTCTTGATAACATGCGCATCAGCATCCACGATCCCGCCAAGGACCTCCCGCGCGAAGAGATCCCCCTTGGGCCACCGGTCCGCGTTCTCGACAATGTGGCCTAGCCCGCCATCCAGCGAGAACCACACGTGGAAGTAGGGCATCTCCTTGGCGATGCTCCGGCGGAAAGCGGACCGGCCCATGCCTTCTTTGGCTTTCGCCTCCGTGTCGATGATTTTGCGGTGCTGAGACCATTCTTCATCAGACGAGAGAAAGGCTTCCTTGAAGAAGGCTGGTGCCATGGCGCCTTGGTCGTACGGGATAGGCACCGCCATCATGGCAGCGTGCATATGCCTCTGCGGCGCAGCAGCATTCTCGTAAAAGACGACCTCCCGTCCCTGATCGTGATACATCCGCGTGAGGCTCTTCATGAAGTTCCGAATCTCCTCCCACTCGTCATCGTCGCACTCGAGCAGATTGTTCCGATGCGCAATGGGCACAATCACCGCCCCTCCCTCGCTAATCTCCGGCTCGGTGGGCAACGTCAGGAACACCCGCGTCGCGAGCGACACGACGGGCGCAATCGGCGGCAGGCCCTTGTCCTCCTTGTGGCACAGCGGGCAGTTCTCGAGGATGCGGTTCATCTTCTGGAACTCGCTGACGGCCATGTTCTTGAGGTTGACCTCGCTCTTGTGCACCCGCTTGGCGAGCTTCTCGGCGTTCTCGTCCATGTACTCGAGGTCGTTGTCGAACTTTGCGTCCTTGGCGATGCGCTCGGCCAGGCGCAGGCCTTCGCCTCCTGCTTGGCCCTTGGTCCGGCGCTCTTCCTGGAGCATCTGTTCAATGGTCATGTCTGTGTTTTCTTCGACGAGGCCGCGCTCACGGCCGCGCTTGTTGTCGACGGCCTTGACTTCGGCACGAGTGCCGGCCAGCTGACGGCTCTCCATGACGCCCAGGACGACGGCTTCGGGCGCGTTGATGCGGGGGGCTGCTGCGGCTGCCGCACGGTTGTATTCTTCTTCCAGTTGGGCGGCATTGGGAGCCTTCCGGAGCTTTGCCTTCATCATCTGGGCGCGCAGTCTGTTCAATGCCGTTTGGTCCATCGGCACAGGAACAGGCTGGATAGGGTTCTCCTGCATGATCTCGCCTTGGACTTCTTGGCTGACGGGTTCTGCACGCCTCTGCTCCTTTATCCGCTGGTTGTAGAGCTCGCCCGTAGGCTTGTCTTTGCTTTTGGCATCTTCGCCGTAGAGTCGTCTGCGCTCCATCTCTTCCTCTTCTTCGCGGGCGTCATCGAAGAATTCCAGGCTGCCGAATTGCTTCAAGGCAACCTCCTCGACGGGTTGTCCCGTTTCCTTCGCAGTGTTGTAGACGGCTTTCAGCTTGGTCATTCGCCACTTTGAGCCCGCGTCGCCAAACGTGTAGTCGACTGTCCTCTTGGACGTCTGCTCCTGGTTTGCCGGCGCCTTGCCGCTGTTCAGGTCCTCGAGGTGGCCGCTGTTGAGCTCGCGACTGTGTATCACTCGTTTGGGAGGTTCGGGCGTCGGCGATCGTGGTTTGTTCTGCCCTGGACGGTGGACGTGCTCGACTTCGAAGGCTGAAGGCGCCGTCATCCAAGCATCGCGCTCCAGTGTCTTTGATCCTGGTTCTGCGTCGTCGCTCGGCTTTCTGTCTTGCTCGGCGCTGTCGTCTGTCGCCTTGTCATCACGAGATCTCTCTCCTCGATGGCGCCGCCTTCGTTGGTCGTCGGCATCGTCGTCGTCGTTGTCGCGTCTCCTCTTGTGCCGCCGATCATCGTCATCGTGCTCGCTGTGGTGTCGGCGACGGCGACGGTCGTCTCTGTCCTTGTCTCTGTCTCCTCTGTCTCTACGCCTGTCTCTGTCTCTCTCGCGCTCTCCGTCTCTCTCGCGCTCTCCGTCTCTCTCGCTGTCGCGATGGCGATGTCTGTGTCGCTCTTCGCCGTCTCGATCTCGATCTCTGTCCCGCTCTTCTCGATGGTGGTGCCTGTGCTTGTGGCTGTGGTGCCGATGCCGCTCGCGATCGTGCTCTGACTTTTCGCGCTCGGCCTTTTCGGCGGCGAGATTCTTCTCGAACTCGTCCAGCCCGTCCATGGTGCTGCGACAATGAAGCTTCAATGCGATGAGACGAGGTAAGGATTGAATGTTGAAGCTCCGAAGAATTGATGGAGCTTGGACTTTCTTACGTCAGGGCTCCTGATGTGGGCCCAGCTGCTTGCTGTAGATTTAGCGCTGCTGAACCTCAGAGTTGCACCTTGACCATCTGAAGCAAACAACATTGAACGGAATCTTCAGTATTATTTTCCTTTTAACACCATTGGACATTGGAATCATTTTCCTTTTTACACCATTGGACATTGGACCTCGTAACGCAGATTATTGTGGCCAGTCACTTTCATGAGTATACAGTATCAGGCAGAGCCCTGTAGTATCTGCAGCTAATCCAATGCATGCAGTTACCATCCCAGAAATCACAGTCACATTGTGATGGCTTCATGCTGTCAACTTGAATGTCAAACAACACTGTGACACTATATCTTTCAAATTCATCACTTCTTCTTTGCCATCCCAGAGCGTCATCACTTCAAAGTCGATCAAAGCTTGAAGCTTCATATCCTCTACAGGATCAAGTCTCTACGTCTGAGCTGCCTTGTCAAAGTCCTTTAGCATCCTGTCAAGCTCCTGATGCCTGCGGATCGCAACGTCCAACGTCGGCCACTCTCCTCCCACTGGAGCCGCCTCCTTGTCTTCCTGCTGATGCCACAGAGCATATCGGTTATACATGTCTCCCACCAACTTGCATCCCGGCGTCTGCAGCTCCTTCTGCCAGTCCTTCCACTCCGACTCCCACTCAGTCTCCGCCACCTCGTCTGTCGCATAGTCGTGAAGCTCAATCTTGACGCCTGGCATTGTGGCCGCCTGCAGAATTGGTCCAAACGGACTTGTAATCCTCAGTTCTCCGGTCTGGCCCTGGATATACCACGCATAGGGGTCTTCGCCCTTGAAAGGCGTCCCGCTTCTGTACAGCACAGACAGAGTCGCTCCCTCCTGAATGTCTGCAGCACCGGGAGCAAGCTCTCCATGAGCACTGATGAGGTCCGGGATATCGTTCTTTCGTGTACGAAGTTGCACGCCATCTTTATCCACAACACCGAGCTCTGGCCACCGAATCTGCAGCTGGCTGTGAAAGTCCTTGAACTCGCCCAGCACAGAGTGGACAAGATCAACCATGTGCGCATACAGAACGGAAAAGTGGTTGCCACCAATCGCTCGCTGGGTAAACAAGACCTCCAGAGGCCCTTCAAGGAGCGTGCCCGGCCGTTGCCCCAAGCCCATGGCGCTGAAGCCGCGAACTTGGCTGTTGAGAACCTTTCCAATCCTGCCAGATGCCAACAGCTGCTTGACCTTGGCTGCTACTGGCGAGAGTCGCGCTTGTAAGCCGATGATGTTTCTGTCACGGCCCTTCCCCTCGCCCACCAAAGCGAGACTGCGCTCGAGGCTCTCAGTGAGCGGCCATTCCACATAGACAGCCTTTCCTGCTCGAAATGAAGGCTCCACGGCGGCATAATGCTTGTCAGATTGAACGACGATCGACACGAGATCGACTTCATCGTCAGCAGCAAGCTGAGCCGGGTCGCCGTATGTCTTCACGGTAGAGGGGAGGTTGAAGTGAGTGCGAGCTCTTTCAGCTGCCTCTTTGCTGGAGTTGAGAAGCGCGACTACTTTGTATTGTGTCTGGCCTCGCGCGGACTGGAGGTATGGCAGATGAGCTGTTGCCGCCCAGGACGTGATTGCGTTGGCCGAGAGCCCAACCAGCGCAACGCGAATGAGGTTGGAAGACATGGTGGACTAGAGAAGGATACTTGATATGATGTGTTTGGGTTAAAGAGCGCATGAAACGGCTCGAGAGACATTGGCAGCTGGAGATACTTATATCCATTCATCTTGGCTTCAAGGCAGCTTACATCCCGGCGCTCTGATATAGACGGCTGGTGAGCACATGAAGGGGCATGAGGTCAGCGCTACAATCAAAGCAAAGTCCAGCTAGATCTGAAAGAGTAGTTGCATCTGTGGCAAACGACCAATCAAACGGCGCGAAATCGCCGTCTTTGTCAATTCCATACATGTAAGCTGATCTCCGCAGGCTTCTCGTAATCAGGCTTTTAGAAGCTCATTCACCAGCTGTTGTGAGGAACCCAAGGGCGCCTTGTCACAATCAATCAGGAGAGATGACGATGGACTCGTTCGAAATGACATGACAAGTGTATCTAGATGAGGGGCAAAATGAATGCTCACGTTAGGATGATGAGCTTCATGATTCTCGCTCGTTCCTTCGAACTCTGGGAAGGATTCTAGGAACTTATCAAATAAGTGTATTGGGGATTATTGGACGTCAAGTTAGGGTATGATGATATCTAGGTAGATGGTGATGACACTATGGGTGAGAATACATTGTTGACACCCAGGTTGTATTATCCAAAACCTCTGATCGTCCTACAAAACCGGGACTCTGACTGTATGGACCAAGAACTGGAGCACACTCAGCTCAGGCCATGATCCTCGACTATTCTTGACTTCGTCCACTTTGCTGTCGTAGTTTGCAAATGACGTCTCGCCATAACAGCCCGTCGAGAAAGACCCTTGATCCTCTCCTTCACATTCTTGTATTCGGGGTCGTGTGGTCCGAATTTCACCATTTCGGAATGCGTGCGGGCAATGGCGCACATGTGCTCTGTTCCATCTTCCCATGGGCGGCAATGCGTTGCCGAAGACTTTGTGACGAGGATCGTTGGGGGTCCCGTCATTCTCCATTGGCCATCGACCTCCTGCGCAGTTGGAGACTCGAGTGTTTCGTAGAAACAAAACACTTCCGAGTCGCCTTCGCTGCCAAGGGCCCTGTGAAAGTCTCGTTGCTGTATGCTGAGTATTTGCGAATTCATGCGGCTCATGGACTCAATCAGGAAGCGGTTGGGTCCGTCTCTGACCATGGGAATAAGGGAGCTGATATCCATGCCATCATGTGGCGTTCCGAAAAAGACAACGCCGTATATAGAACGAAAGAGTCTTTTGTCATCGGGGATTTTCGATCTCGACATTGTTATCAGTGACTGCCTGATCTTTAATGACATGACAGGAAATGATGGCAAAAGTGAGTTGGTATGCTAACCTGCTTGATGATCAGTCCTCCCAGGCTGTGGCCGATAAGGATGATTGGTCTGGTCGGCGAGGCACCCACCGATGCGAGAAGGCTGTTATGAAACGTTGTGCTCAAGTCTTCAATATTTTGCATACACTTGCTTTTCGCAACAGCCGATTCATAACCGTAGACCATGACCCTCGCCATTGGCTTGCCATCGGTCTCTGAGGTGACATGCCCTGGAAGAGAATCTCGCAACCACATGTGTGTACCTTTTCTCTCACGGAAAGATCCAAAGGCATGGCCTCCTAAACCAGACAATGCAACAATACTAGATACGATGAGCCAATGTCATCACATGCTACTATGCAATGGCGGCTTACTCAATTTTGTGATCGTCGGGAGGCGGCGCGTAAAGAGTCGTTATGCCCAGGAAGTCCTTTTCAACGACAAGCCATTGCTTCGCACCTGGTTGAGTATTTGGAAGCTCCGGTACCCGAATTTGCCAGCTTTGAACATTCCGAAAATTGGAGGGAGCATTTCCCAAGGTGGCCGTGGCTGTCTGGAAGTCGGTATTTGCTTCGTGGGCGAGTGACTTTATGGACACATCTGCAATGTTGGTTTCAGCCATCAGGACTTTTCGAAGTACTTCGCGGTCCCAGTCAATTGGGATACCGCTGATCCGAAAGGTTAGATCATGTGGAATTTTAGGGCGTTCAGATCGCTCAGGCTTGACAGTACATCGTGTAAGTCGTTGCAAGACTAGTCGATAGGATACGATTGTAAGGAAGACAACAAAGGCTAGAAGGCATGTGTAGTTATTCTCGATGGTGCCCATGGCGATGATTATTCCTACTCTTTGCTGACCTGTGAGTCAAGAACTTGCACTCGGCATTTTGTACCCAGCGAACATTGGGCTGGGAGTGTACAGCATTCAGCCTCATAAGTTGAAGGAGGAGACATGACTAGGCTGTGCATTATGGGGTGCAGGGATAACTGCCGGACAACGTAGGTAGTAAGAGCAACTTAACTGATATGATATCATTACTCAGTTTCTCATCCGAAATCTCTTTTCGACATTCTCTATTGAGCTGAACCTTGCAGTCGAAGTAATTCCAGCTATTTGAATGGATTGTTTGCCGTTGTTACTTCTGTAAAAATAGAGCCATCTGCTCTTCAGGTGTCACCAGGTTAGCGGTATATCGTGTAAGTCGCCTCAAGGCCTAGACTAGTATTTGGTTCCGATTGTCGACTCATGGTAGCAAGCAGGCTGAAGTCAACTCCCCATATCGAACCCAAGGGCCCGGAATTGCTGCGCCAAAAGTCCTTGCAAATGGTGAAGTTGATTCGTGATTGCCGCTTGGTTTCGCTGCATCACAATGGACGACACTGATGCGCGTGAAACCCGGCGGGGCTCCAAGCATGTAAGGCACATATAAGCGCCTCGGACGATGAAACGGGCGGTTAGGCAGACTGTCACTCACATCCCCGTTCCGTTTCGGCCATGAATTTACAGTTGATAGCCAGGTAAGGCTCATTCATCTGCATCGTCAGACTTACTAGTATGTCTGGAGAATTGCCGCCTAGACTAGGTATGGAGCGAAACATCCGCATACTCCTACGGCGACCATCTAAGTCGTAACACAGATCAACGTGATGACCTCAATGTCGAAATCAACTTATAGTACCCCAATCTATCTATCCGTCGTCTTCACGCTTCTACGCTGAAACTGATGAAAGCAGGAAAACAATCTCGTTCCTGGACTTTCCTCCCCAGGCAATTGTTGTTTTTGCCAGACTACTAGCCTATAGCTTAAAGTAAGGGAACAATTTTCAATTAGCGGCCTTAGCTCAGCTGGGAGAGCGTCAGACTGAAGTTCCAACTTCAATCACCTGTTATCTGAAGGTCGTGTGTTCGATCCACACAGGCCGCAAATTTTTGCTTTTTGCCCAGAATTCTCTGCCTTTCTTCTCATCTGATTCTCTACTCTCTCCTGCACTCCCATTTTGCTCTTTTTGCTTCTTCCCATTTCGGTCCCTCTAATCCTATGACGAGTTTCTATATGTCTTGCTTGTCTTGATGGGAGACTCGTTGGCTAAACCGAGCTGAACCAACTCCCATTGCAGTCAGTGAAAGCTTGTCGCAGAGATCGCAGGCATGACCTCTATGAACAAACGCCCATCATCTCAATGTGCTCTTTATATCTCACATTCTTTACGCCATGTCTAACTCAATTGTCCACCCATATGTACAAGACGATACCCATCCTGCATGCATGTTCGCCCTCTCTCGCGGAATATCTACCCCGCTCGCTATACTCCAAAGATTGTGACGCATGTACGAAGAAAATATGAACAACCGTGTTCAGTTGCAACCCAATGATGGTAATCATCTAGAACGATAAAGCGCGCCCAAACTCCCATGAAATGCACGACAGACGACAAATCTTGTCTGGATAACGCCCCTACAGCTCTCCGTCATCGTCAGAGTATCCGATCCTGTACGTGGTCAAAACGGCAGCGTGATCCGACGTCCACTCATTGTTCCGCTGATTCGGCTCTGGAGTGGGCTCACCGGCGACAAGTGTCTCTGACGAGAGAACTTTGAGGCTGCGACCCTTGTGGAAGACAAAGTCGATTCGGTCCAATGGCTCGGGCCGGCCGTTGTTGTCGAGGTAGATGGGCGACCAAGTGATGCCCGGCTCGGCGTTGGGATCGGGATGCGCCTCGCGGAACGAGTCGATCAGACCCGACTGCATGGGGAATTCGGAGCTCGGCCAAGGGACGAAGCCAGTGCCGCAGTGGGCTTTCTTAGTTGCGTCTGTCCAGTCGAGGTGAGACGGCGCGTTGAAGTCGCCGGTGAGGAGGACGGGGATGTCGTCGGCCTCGGCAAGGGCACCTTGCATGGCGCTGACGATTTCCATGATTTGCGGCGTGCGGCCGGACTGGTACTCCCGGTTGAGGACCTCGGCCAGGGGCAAGTGGTCGAAGCAGAAGTCGTATGGTCCGTAAGGATTGTATCCTAGATGAACGTTCCACATGATGAGCTGACTCTTGCGGCCATCCAGCTCGATGCGGATCGATCCACCGGCGGCCTGCTCCGGAAATACCTCGACGATGGGATAGCGACTGATGATGCCGACTTCCTTGGGGCTCTGCCAGTAGTACCAGCCAAGCGCCTGCGCGAGGCGGGTTGCCTGGCCGTTCCAGCTCTCCTGCAGACCGACGATGTCGACGTTTGTGTTGATGAGGAAGCGGACCTGTTTGTTGTGGTAGTCGTCGACGTTGGTGCCGCCGAACCACATGTTGAAGGACATGACCTTGAGTTCGCGCACCAGCGGCTCATTCTTGGCCCGAACAGGGATTTTGACCTGGATGGTGGCAGAGGAGCCATCGCTGGCCGTCGCCTTGACCACAAAGCTGGTGTCCTTGTCCTTGGGGCCCGGCGTGCCGAAGATGGTTCCGTCCTTGGCGACCTTGACCCATTCGGAGCCGTGGGTGGTGACCTTGGTGAACTTGGTCTCGTCGTCCTTGGGATTGGCAATCAAGCGGCCTAACCTGGCCTTGAAGGGGCTGCCCTGGTGGGCATTCTGGGTGATGATGCGGTCGTTGATGAACTCGATAGGTCCCGAGCCGGGCACGATGACGTCGATGGGCTTCGCAAGCCACTGGTAGCCATCCTTGGCCAGGAAATAGGCCCTGTAGTAGCCGGCAGATAGACTCGAGACGTCGACGTGCACCTCACCGTTGCCGTCAGGCGCATACGCCCAGGTCAAGGAGCCTGCGACGAATTCTTCATTGTCAGGGCCTCCATAGTATGTCTCGTAGACGCCGATCCAGTTCTTCGGGTCGGGGTTCGGCGTTGAGTAGTTGAATGTGAAGAGCGACTGTCCGTCTTCGAGGGAAAGCGTTCCGGGAAGCGCATCACGAGGAGCCTTTGAGCTGAAGTCAATGGCAGCGGCTGATGATGGAGAGGCGAAGAAGAGGGAGATGGCGGCGACGGCGGCGGCAGTCGCTGCGGGAAATAGTGAGGGGAGCCTCATTGCTCCGGGTCTCTTGTGGTGGGTTGTCTGTTCAAAGGGGATGTAAATAGAGTAAACCGGGAGAGGGATCTGTTTTAATATCTCACTTGGTCGCAGATCCGGCAGCAAGACGGCGTCGGTTGAGCTATTGTACTGCTCTATTTACAGTAGTGAAGGCTTTTAGTGTGACCGAAGAAGGGCGTCGTCATCGATCTCTTATATGGAGAGCACGGGTCCACAGAGGTCCAGGATAGTCCGGGTAGAAGCTGGTGATGGCGTCGTTAGTTGTCTGGTACCTCACGGCTCCCCGCTGTCAAGCGACGGCATCACGAGCCTGCCGGCACTTTCAGACCCTGTGCATCCATCTTGCTATGCCTCTGAGATGCAAGCAGTATAGAGACACCTCATGCAGGTGAGGGATATCGCTCATGATTGTCAAATGCTTTGGCAGCGTGAGAGCACGCATCAACCTGTGCTGCAGGGACTATAGCGGTCGAGGGCCCTAAACTAGCGGCGACTCGGAGGAGTGTGTACAGTGGGCGACCTCCGCTATGAAGTTTCTGTCCGGGGCTACGCGTACATTGCAGGGTTGAGACGCGTACCTCTCATGTACAGTCTGTCGGCACCAAGGGGAAATCGCCTGGAACTGAAGGGGGGGCAGCAGCAAGATGGAATGGACGAGCGTCAGCCAGCCAATCATCGCAGCTCGTGGTTGCTTGGCAGCCAGCCTTTACGTCGCCTCATGATTCGGCACTTGGCTTCACGTGGCGGCATTTCAGACGCATCAAGAGAGATCTCAGGGTCTTTTTTCATGTAATGAGAGTCATGTCTGGCGGACTTGTGCGTGCATGAAGCATACAGAGTTGAGCAACCACTCCGATTTAGCAGGAATGTCATGGACCTACGTTGGTGGTCTTCCCCTTGTCTTTGGAGTACCGCGTGCATGTAGGTGATGCTTTGCAAAGTCTTGGATGAGCCGGAACAGTCTCTTTTCTTCACCGACAAGGACATCATGCGCCAGAATCACTTCTTAGTCTTTCAGAGCAACATGATACTTGAGTCATGGGGATGTTGGGCGCTTATAATTGTTCAGTGGCGTCTCGAACGGCTCAAGATGCCGGCGCTGGATTGATGGCATCGCGATGTAACGTCGTGGTACGTCCGGCTGATTCCATCACCAGATTGGCTGCTGAGCTTCTGATATAGCCCACGGTATAGCAAGCTTGCTGTTGGATACATAGGTACCTAGGTAATCGGGACCGGCGAAAGGAATGGGGCCTGGCACGAGATGGCTGAGCGCTTGTTTACCCATTCAAGGCCCCCCCTTAGTTGCGTTATTCGGGTTAGGGTTGGGAGATTTGGACTTTATGAGGCTCTGAAATTATCTGGGGTTGGTGGTTTAGGGAACTGCCAGTTACATGTACACTTCGCAGGAAGCCCGACACGTTGACCTAACCAGAATCAATCCCCATATAGTGAGGGTGATATCGAAAACATAGAAGTTGTAGCTTGATTGAGGTCCTTATTCTCGTAGTTCGACTCCCAATGGAGATGATACTGATTATGCCATGTGAGAGTTCCTTGCAAGTTAGATTGCTCATCGCGTCTCTCGTCCCGAAACTGCTTACGCATGGAATAGACGAGACTTGCTCATATTCCGTGTCTAGAACTTTGTGAGATGGCTCGCATCAAGGATCTATTCGCAAGCAGGGTGCCCCCACTGATATAGATATCCCATGAAGCATCGACTCGAGTAATGGTCTCTTGGTCTCATAGCCTCGGTATCATGCAACATGCAGTCAACTCGTGTATGTCCTTGAATGAGACCAGAATTGCAGATAGCGCTCCGAAGTAACATGTGTGAGGCAATTGCTATGCTTGGCATTCCTTCATGTCGCTATCTCCTTGATTATGGCTGTATTCTAGTATTGTCGGATAAGACTCAGATCACGGTATCAGCGAAAGATCTTAGTTGCGTCCTCGTCACACATAAGAGCAGTAATCTTCCAACTAGAGGAAGAATGACGACGAGCTTGCAGCATATATAACCACCTTATCTTCAATGAGGAGATGATATACCTCATGAATATACCGACATGTTCTCAGTTCCTCAGCCTTCCGAGACGGTCCGGCACCACCGTCCGAATGGTCACGAGGACCTTAATAATAGAAACACATACAGTACAGACATCGATACCCCAATGCGGCGAACAGCAGACCAGCAATAATTCTCCATTCGCCCACCATCTGCTTAGCCGAAAGCTTGCCTGATGCTGCATACCGTCTGTCTCAAAACCCCGCGATTGGACAATGGCGCACATCGACAACTAAGCACAGTAGCATTGCCACGGATCAGCGCATATCGAAACCTGGTCCGGCATACAGTTCTCCGTCATTGTTGGAAACTGTCTCGCCTGACAGCTGGTGATGGCTGCGCAGCCAAGGCGGGGTATCAGCGCTGCGATTCGAGAATATGCGGTTGATGGCCCTCATCATGACGTTGATGGCGACGACTGCCGGCAGACCATCACGCAGCTCTCGCCTGATGACGAAAACTCAGTTTGGGGGGGAGCTGTGTGAGAGCTATAAGACAGCTTGCTTCTTGTCCTTGCCACTACCGCTGCGTTTAATCTCCATTGACTTTGCAACTGCTACGTGATCATCTCATCAACACAACATTGAAGAAGCTCGAGACAATCTCTCAAGATGAACCCAAACACCGGCATCACAGACGAGGCGGCCATTGAGGGCCACGACCTCATTCACAACGCCGAGGTTGAAGAGCAAAAGGTAAGTTTCAGGGAATAAAAGCTTTCAGCTAACGACATGGGATTAACTCTGGCCAAGGCGCACGGCGACCACGCGCTGACGCAGCCGGACGAGGGCGATGAGCCGCTCAACGCAACAAAACAGACGGAGACGGGCGCTGCCCCGGGACACACTCAGCGTCGCCACTCGGCGATGGACAAGGTCAAGGAGGCGCTGCATCTCAAGAAATAAAGAAACAAATTATCAACACTAAATGATTTCTATGATGCTGGGCGGATGAGCAATTCTGATTCAACGTCGGTGGTGAATGGCGGCGACCCAGACAAAGGGAAAATGAGATGGGAAAAAAAAAACCTAAAGATGGCGCGTGTGGTGTCAGACAATGAATGAATGGCTCTGTGTTTGATTACACTTGTGTACTATTAACAATTCCCCACATCCGCCCTCATTCTTGTCGTCTTATCTACGCTTCAATACCATGAGTTCTTCTATTAATTCAATGTTTGTTTCTTTGCACTTGTTTGATGCCCTTGTGAACTCTTTGGTACCTGTCGCAGCCAGACAAGCAATAGCTCCCCCATACTACTCGTAACATACCTTATCCAGACTCTGGAGCAGAACTGGTGGAGCTTATCCACGTTTTACCGCCAACGGCCCCATCGGGAAAGGCTGCAGGTGGGCTGTTTCTGCTAACCTAGACAGGCCTAGGCCCAGTGCTCGCCTACGGATTTTCCCCCTGACCAGCACCACCAAATTTCCCCGGATTCGCTGCCATCGCGATTGTCGAGCCGTTTTTTCTCCCCTCTGCCATGCAGCCTCGTCCCGATGCGCGAAATTGACGCTCTTTGAGCCTCGCGCGCTTCGTCCTGTGCCCTCGCCGCAACGGCGCCAAATCGCCGCCTGTCACTCCTTATTGTCTTGATCTGTTCGCTCATTGAATCGCTGGCCCCGGTCTGGCCAAGTGACGAGTCAGTCTCTCCATTCCTTATGACGACGCTCTCGTGATGCTCTTCAGCCTCCACTCTCTCATGGCAACGCTCATGGCAACGCCCGTGGCGTTTCTGCCCCTGCTGGCGTCTGCTGCTGTCGCCGCTTCAATCCCTCGCGACGACAGCTCCTCTTCATCGTCCTCGAAAATTGTCTGGGCGACGCCCCACGACAGCTACTCGTCGTCCATCGGCGTGCTGGGCTGCAAGGTCAACACCAACCGAGTCGCCTACTGGCCCGACTCCGTCGACTGCAACAACATCTGCGTCTCTCTCCAGTACCAGGGCCGCCAGGTCTATCTGCTGCGCGTGGACCAGTCCCAGGGCGCCCACGACGTCAGCTACGATGCCTGGAACTATCTCTACACGGGCTACTCCGCCACCGACAAGCCCTTTGCAGGAGGCCCCGTCGAGATGACGACGCAAAACGTCGATGCGTCCAAGTGCGCGAGCCTGCTCCACACAAAGGGCCACAAGCTCCCTCTCAGCGCGGCGAACAGCATGAACTTCCTGTCTAGCTGTCTCGAGCAGGAGAACTCGTGGGTTGCAGACAACTATGTCCTGTACAATATCCTCGACTCGATCTGCACCCTCGGACAGGACCAAGTCTGCACTCTGGACTGGCCCAATGCCAATCAGCCGTCTTGTCCAGGCACCCTGGGAGTACCCGATACGCTCAAGTCACAGCCCGTCTGGAACATCCAGTATCCTTCTGGCGACAAAGTGCTCGCCGGAGCGCCACCAACGGTGCCCACTGGCGTTCCGGTCCCGGCACCGAGTGAAGGTGGTGACGATGAGAACGGCGCGCACAGCCTGGTGTGTCCGGAATTCCTCTTCCGGGTTACGATCCTTTCTTTATCTTTCTCAATATCTTTTTTGATGCTGTGGTAACCGTTACGAAAATTTCTCTGTCGAGGAATTGTTTACGTCTTGGATATGATGTTTATTCTTTGGTCAATTATACCCCCATTGTTCATATTCTGTGTATATCTTTTACAATACGTTTTTGGGCTACTATGGTTCATCAATATTTATTCCTTTTTTTTCTTCTTGTTCTTCATATGTTTCTGTTTTAATGAATGTACAATGATATCTGTCTTGGTCTCATAAGTGTTTTTCTTCTTTTGGTCTTGGGTATCTTGGTTCTTGTTTATTCCGACGCTTTGCACAACCTCGCTGCTGACTCGTCCAATCCATATATATGCTCTTCATCCTCTGGTACTCCGACCTGGAAGCCCGTCGCCATGCCTGTTCCAAGGTGTACCATCATATGGCAGTGTAGCATCCACATTCCGGGGTTGTCGGCGACAAATGACAGCACCACATGGCCTTTTCTCGGCACGCTGACGGTGTCCTTCCGGAGAGGCCTCTCCCGTTTCCAATGGCCTGGTGATTTGTCTTCCGGTGTTTCGTAAGGGTTATAGCTCCCAAGCTTGGCATTGTCTGCCCGGAAGGAGGACAGGACGTGGAAAGAATAGCCATGAAGATGGAATGGGTGTGAACCATCGTCAAGGTTGTTGATCACCAGCTTGACCTTTGTTGGCTTTGACCCGCTGCCGATGAACGGGACGAACTGGTTCTCGTCCCAGGATGACCGGTTCAGTGACAGCAGCGGCGGCGACTGTGGTTGCCAAACCGTGTGATTGACGAAGCCGAGCGGCTTGTTTCCGTGCACCGCAAGCTTCTGAGTCGAGACGTAGAGCAGAACAGTTTGTTCTTCTTCCGCCGTGGCGATGGGAGATGGCTCCTCGGTGGCAGAAAGGGACGCTAGATCAAGATGACTGCTGCTGAATCTCAAAGGGGGCGCCTGGTCCCTATCATGAGCCGTGACTGTTTTCGGTAGAGCTGGAAAGGTATGGTTGGGGTTCAACGCCGGGTTGCCGAAACGAAGATTCCTATGGGGTGTTAGAGGATTGTTTGCCTTTTGAGAGTACAAGAGGTATGAGGTGGGATAACTCACTCATGATCTAGATATACGTTGAACCACGGCTCCGCCGCCTGATCAGTCTTCCACTTGAGCAACAAATCAACCCTCTCTCCGGGATAGAGAGTACCAATGGAATCAGCCGGCTTCGAATCCACCTTGCAGCCTCCATCCATGTGTGTCGGCTGGAGGGAAGCCCCGTCAACGCCGACAGTCAAGCCGGCGACGGTGCCTGTGTTGACAACTCTCAGCAGCGTCTCCCCTGTAGCCTTCTTGATCAGAGGCGGGAAGTTGCTCAAGCTGGTTGCCTTGCACTTGACAGGACGAGCCGGCACGGCCATGGAGCAGTCGTATCGGCCACGGCCGTTGATGACGATGGAATCCGGCACGGGCTCGTTGCCTGCACTCGCCGGGCTGCTGTACCAATCGAGGACATCACTTTGCCGGCGATGGAACCAGTCACCGATGAGGAGCAGTGCTTCGTCACTTGCAGCCTCATTGTCGCTCCGATGTTGTCTCGGCTCGTGAATCACCAACCCGCCAAAGAGGCCGTCCCCCCTTTGCAGCTGGGAGTGACCGTGCCACCAGAACGTGCCGTGCTCGTCGTCGCGGATGCGAAAGTCATAGACGAACGAGCCGCCAGCGGGGATAGGACACTGAACGAAGCCAACGGCTCCGTCCATGGCGTTGAAGCCCTGCATGCGAAGGCCGTGCCAGTGCAGCGAGACGCCGTCGGCCTTGTCCTTGAGGTCATTGTGGACACGGACGATGATGCGGTCCCCGGATCGTGCCTCGATGGTTGGCCCCGGGAATTGTCCTGTTCAGAAATGTCAGCCAATCGATCCGACCACGCCCCTCGGACTGTGGCCTTCTGAGCCCTCCAGGTAAGAGGTGCTGCATGAATAATATCCTCACGCACCGTTGATCAGATACACCTCCTTCTCCACCCCATCCGGGGCTTTCGTGCCCAAAGTGACATGCCAGTCAAAGGTCAGTGTGGTGGGATCTCTTGTGGAATGCTCGGTCGGATGAAGTGGAATGGCAAGCTGGCTGTCGTCTAAGGGGGCGCCGGAAGCGTGGCGGTTCAGGGCAAACAGCAGAACAAGCAGGGAGCCCAGACAGAGTGCGACGATGAGGCCGGCAATGCGGACGAGAGCAATCCTGGGCTTTGGACGGGCCGTGGGCTCTGCAGCTGTCTCTGCCTGCCGTGCCTCGTCGATGCTTGGTTGGGTCGCCAAGTCATCGCTATCGACGTCTACTTGATCGAGCAGACGGCGGTCTTCGAGTTCGTCCCTCATTCCGATTTGAGTATTTGGACTTTTGAGCTAGAAGATTTCATCAACATGTCTCTCGACACACTCAACTCGACATAGCTCATCCGACAAAAGGGGGGGGGGACAAGCAAAAAAGTCAGGATTCCAAACAGAGAGAGAAAAAACGGCTAGAAACCGGGACACGTCATGACACAACAGATAAGAGGCACAAAACAAGCAGAAAACAACGGCGGTGATCGGACAGACAAGGCCCAAATGCCAAGACTCTCGCAACATCGGTATAAAGACGCGCGGAGGTATTCGTCACCACTCTGTCGGCATCGACTGCCGGGCCACTCGCCGCACGTGGGGATTTCGTCGTTTGATTTGTTGAATGCCCGGGTTTGTGGCGGGCCCCGCAGGAGGACGAGGCCAAAGATGCTGTTTTTTTTGCCCGGCCGGCGTTCTGGTCTAGTAGCACCGGTCTGCCAGGCTATTCTGCTATCTTGCTGGTGAGTGTTTTGTGTTGTTGTTTTTTATCAGACGATTTCCTCGGGAATGTGGGAGACGGTGTTGAAACGCCCATCTAGTAGTGTTCGGGAGGCTTACGTATCACGGCATCTTCCGTGTAAGTCAAGACACTCTCCCCAATTCTCCTCCTTCTCCTCCCCTCGCCTCTCAACACAGACTCACACAACAGACTCATGTACTAATTCATCTCCAAGCAGTACAAATGAGGCCTTTCCCGCTCTTTCTTGTCGCCTAAAGAGCTGTCTCAGTCTCCACACCTCTCGATGTCCATCATGCAGCTACAATACTACTCTGCTACTACTACTATCGTGGTCTTCGTCCTTGTGGAACCTCGCGAGTCCCCCTGCACTAACTCACCCATCCTTGCATCGGTGCCGCTCCAGCCAACCACGGCCGCCGTCACGAGGGCCACCGGGTGGCCGCTATTGGCTTCTCGCAAGCACATGTCTTGATCGTCTGGCTGCGCATCTCGCATCTGTCCTTTCCCGATGGATCCAATCACATGCTTTTGAGCGCAACATTGGACCTGGATCTTTTTTCTAGCGGCTTTGAAATTTCCTACTCCATGTCTCTTGATGAGAGACTCTACCGCTTTGAGTGCAAAAGATGGAGTGTAACGCGCTTTATCCTGTTGGCTAACCATTATCCCAACATCTCCTAAACTGCCCTTCCCTGCAGCACAAGTCCCAACCTCATGGTGATCTCCTCTCTCAACAAACAATGGCCACCTACCTTCCGCTTTGGGGCGTCGGTAGAAGGTCAGACAGGAAATGCAACATCACAGCTGTTTATCCTTTAACCGCATGATGAACCGTGACCTTCGGCACGGACAGCCGCCTTGTCGGTACGTCAGTGCTACACTGCGCTTGGCAACTCACATTGCAGTGAGGGGTGTGTGTCTGTGATGATGCGCACTGGAAGCGAAGCGTATATCATCCACGCGATGTCTGTCGTAGATCTATCTTCAGTGTGGTGAAGCTGGGCTGCAAGAAGTTCTCCCGGGCACCTCAGCTATCCTGCTTCTTGGCTGCCACCGTCAGACAAGATGCCTCGCTTCGTGACTCTTGCGCCTGCGTCGGCGACGTTGATGGCCGTCATCGGCCTTGCGAGTGCAGGCAGCCTCAAGGACATTGACCATGTCGTCCTCTTCATGCAGGGTATGATACGCAGATCTTAGTTTTTGAGCGTCGACGTCTTGAAAATTGACACCCAATAATCTGTAGAGAACCGTGCCTTTGACCACTACTTTGGCACAATGGCCGGCGTCCGAGGCTTCGCAGACGCGAACCTGCAGATGAACGACGGCGTCCCGGTCTGGAAACAAGTGACAAACTCGCAACTGACCAACGAGACCGACTACGTGACTCCCTTCTACATCAACTACCTCGGCGGCAACTGGACTGAAGCAACGCAGTGCATGGTCTCGGGGAGCAACAGCTGGCAGGAGAATCACGCAGCATGGAACTCTGGCCGCAATGATCGCTGGGCCGTGGACAACAGTCCGTACAGCATCGGCTTCTACAAGCGGCAGGACATTCCGATTCAGTTTGCCTTGGCGGATAGTTTCGTCGTTGCCGACATGTACCAGGTACGTCACCTCATACATATAGATAGGTAGGTACCTGAGGAGTAAAAATAACCATGCTGATTGGGACACCAGGAAGCTATCGTCGCCGCCACGAATCCCAACAGAGTGACCTGGCTCTCCGGCAGCGTCAACGTCCCCGGCGGCCCTCAAACCCCAGACCAGGGCGGGAACCCGTACATCGACAACAACATCACGCCGGGTTGCGAGCCCGGCGGCTTCAACTGCTACCCGCTCAAGTGGAAGACGGTGGGCGAGCACTACGAAGACGCGGGCGTGACATGGCAAGTCTTCCAGGACGCGGACAACTTCGACGACAACTCGTACGCCCGGTTCCAGCAGTTCCAGGACGCCGAGCCGGGCTCCAGTCTCTACGAGAGGGGCATGAAGGGTCTTTCGCTCGACACGTTCTACGCAAAGGCTGCCAACGGCACACTCCCCGAAGTCTCTTACATCGTGGCTCCCATGGAGCTTTCGGAGCATCCCCCGTATTCTCCGCATGATGGCGCCTGGCTGCAGCACCAGGTTGCCCAGGCCGTCCTCAACTCACCAAAGTACAACAGGACGGCCCTCATGATCTCGTACGACGAAACGGGCGGCTGGTTCGACCACGTCGACCCCTATCGCTCTCCCAGGGACACCGCCGGCGAATGGATCGATGATCCGTACGGGCAGGTGGGCTATACCTTTGTCGGGCCCGGCTTCCGGCTGCCGTTCTACATCATCTCGCCCTGGACGCGCAACGGCGGCGTGTTTTCCGCTCACAGCGACCACAACTCGCAGATTCTCTTTGTGGAGAAGTGGCAGGCCGCAAAGGGCCGCAACGTCACGACGGAAGAAATGGTTTACTGGCGCCGTAGCCACATGTCCGATCTGGTCGATGCCTTTGACTTTGACCACCCCGACTACTCCATCCCACAACTCCCTGAGCCGCAGACCCCCCATACGGATTCCAACGGAGTGTACGACGGCTCGTCGTACTGCCAGTCCTTGTACTCGGAGGTCCAGCCACCAGTTCCTTACACTGGCACCGGGGTGATTGCCGACTTGACGACTCAGGTCGAAAGGGGGTTCAAGCCGCTTCGTGGAATGCTTACCGAAGGCCGCCACCTCGTTCTCGAAGCAAACGGCTTCGCACTCACCCAAAAGACGTCCTTTTTAGGCACTATTGTCCTCAGTAGGGCGACTGAGCGACATGATGCTCCTTCTCAGAGGTGGATCGCACATGCGGTGACGGTTGGAGGGGATGAATTTACGCTTTCGGACGATAGTGGACGGAACTACATCTGTGACAACGGGCAGCTCTGCAGTGATGCTGGGAAGGCCGTTGTGTTCACGGTGGGTTACAAGTCTGGAAAGGGGTATTCGTTTGGAGTGAAGGGGACGGGACGGTATTTGGGTGTTGGGGGAAGGGGGGCCTCGAGTTATGCTTCTCTGAATGGGGGATTGGGATACTGGAAGGTGTATAGCGTGAGCTACTGACAAATATACCTAAGCTTCTTTCATTAACAAGGTGCAAGCGATATCCTATTGTCATGAGGTATTACATGGCGGGATGATTTTGTTCGATTGACATGCAGAAGGCGTGATATCTCGACAATCTAGTTCGAGAGCAGGGATCAGTAACAACTTGGCGACGTTTAAAATAATACATTCACAGGCTTGTAAGTTCAGGGGCAAAATCGGCATATCAACGAGCTGACAGGCTGGCACGACGCCAAGACAAGACCCCAAAGGTCTACAGTATATGTGCAGGGGAACATGGATCAGATCTCTTTGGGTGTCTCAGATGGCTTCAATTCCAACCGTCGCGAGAATAATTGGAACAAGAACCAGACGTTACGACTCGCAGACTACCTCAGGTAAGGACAATTCCAGCAGTTTCTCTCTCATGTTGCAGTGCGGCTGAGGTGAGAAAAGCCCAAGTTCCAGGTCAAGGACAATATCTTTCGCTATTCCGTACCTCACCATCGTATATGATCACATGTTCATTACTGGGGGTTTGCCCCTAGTGCCATATGTGTACAAACGACGGACCTCGATTCTGATTTTTCATACTCAACAATGAACACCATTTTCACCAGCAATTGGTCGGGTTGCGTCTCTGACAAGGACGGCGACTGTCTTGACGATAAATGAGGAGGAGAACTACCCTTGAAAACATCATCTTGGCAGAGAGCACACCGACGTCAAATTATGTCGTCATGTGAAGCGTTGAACCAGACACGTCTAGAGCCACAGGGAGCACGAGAAAGTCGGGGATATTGCGCACTGGGACTTGCACATATCGTGCCATCAGTCACTCGCTTCTAGATGCAACCGCCAAGTGCTAGAATAACCCTCCAAAGGCCTTGGTTCAGCGGCCATCCAAATGCTAAGGTTGATGTCCCGACTGATGACAATATTCAAGGGCAGGATCACTGTGAGATGTCAACTTGAGCAAAAGGTACAGCACCTATAGACATTACTTACCATTCGAGCAACGGCCCTCTTGCGAAGGAGAAGCACACGGCACCAGTAAAGAATCATCTGCAGTAGGCCCCCCCTCCCTCCTTGTTTGCATGAGCTGAACACGATCCATGCGTGTTTCTTACTGCTTCAGGGATCATGCCATAAGGAACTTTGGGATCATGTGTTGCTGAGTCGTCATCATCGTGATGACAACCGCTGTTAGCGACCATATGGGATGATTTCGAGTAGACGTGAGGATTCTACTCTTGTAGATGCAGACGTTGAGGCTGGATAATGCAAAATTGTGTCAGAAGATTCCCCCCTGGTCGTTGTCATCATTAGGGGGAGAATGTGACGACGTGAAAAGGGACAAACCGAATATGAGAGACTCGGTTACACGTCAACCCCCATATAACGAAGCGTCACTCCGGCACATAGAGCGTAGAGGCAGTACCAAAGAGTATTAATAACAGCCAAGAGCCATGAAAACAGTAGCAACATATCACCCATCTCCATCATAACCCCCCCGCCCCATCTTCCCCCTATTCCCTCCAACCACATCCATCACCCAACCGTCGCAATACTATCCAACTGCTCCGGCGCCGGCCTCAACCCAAAGATATCTCCCCCCGGCGGCGCCTTCAACCCCTTAACCGCCCCCCTCGCAACAGTATCCCCCTCCTGCGCCGCAGCCCTCACATTATCCGTAGCCGCATACTGCGTAAACCCCAGCTCCGGATACGTCCACGCTCTCGCTCCCCCCTTTGCCGCGGGCACAAGAAACTCCACCGCCTTGAACAGCGTCTGCCCTTGCGGCCCCTTATACCGAAACAAGTCAACGCCCACCTTTCTCGCGATAAGCGCCATCCGCAAATGCGCGCACAAGTCAAAGTTCGAATAGTGGAAGCTCCTCGTCCGAGCCAGCTCCTGCGGCTGCGAGCCGTTCGCGGTAATCTGGCTGTCGATAAAGCCCCTTGCAATCCTGGTCCTCTGCACAGCAAGAGAATGATTCCCCGTAAAGACTGCCAAGGCGGCAATCTGCATGTTGGCAAACGTCCCATGGTTGTTCTGCGCAGAAGCCTCCTCGACACCAAACGGCGAATCCGCAAGCCACGCCAAGAAGCGCTTGTTCCAGTCGACAAACTTGTTATTGTCCCGCTTCGTCCAGCCGGGCGCAGGCCCCGAGTTGAGAATCGCCACAGCGTCGACGACGTTCGTATACTCCTGGCTGAAGTCGATGATGCCAATCGACCGCCCCGTGTTCGCGCACGGAATGATCTGCGCGTGCTCCAGATTCGGATTCATCGCCGTCTTGTCGTCCAGGAACCACGTCCTCAGGATATCCGCCGCGTGCTGCGAGTACCTTTTCTCGCCGGTGTAATACCACGCCAGCGACAGCACGTACGTCGAGTTGAACATCTTGCCCACCGAGACCCTGTCCTGGTACTGGTCGACCTCGGGGTTGCGCTCGCCGTCCCTTTGGTTGTACGGACAGCCGTCGGGCGTGCTGGGGTTGGGCCACCAGTACGGTGCTTGGGACGAGTAGTCGTGGATGGTGCCGTTGGGGGGAGGCTTCGTCTTGGCGGTGACGGTCCAGGGGCCCTGGGATAGCCACGAGTCTGCCTGGGCTGTGAGGTGCTTCAGCGCCGCCTTGAGCTCCCGGTCGCCCAGGTAGAGACGCGTCTTTGCATCGACGAGACGCCACCCGTCAATGACGACCGTGTCGGGGACCTTCAGGGGCCAGAGCAGGTCCCCGAGGCCCAAGCCGGGCAGGGCATTGACGACGACGCCCGCCGCAGAAAGCAGGCCCAAAGAAAGCGACGAGAAATGCATTCCGTCTCTTAATCAAGTCGGTCAGCCAGTCAAATAAGGAATCAATGGACAAGACCTGGCTCTGCTTGAGCTGAGACTCGCCGTAAGGATGAACAGTTCAAGGACCCCCTCTCCCGATATTTATACACAAACAGCGTCTTACATATCGCACCCTCCCCGGACAGTTTCCCCAGATTTCCCCAGATTCTCCTCCAACCCTTGACCGAAAACGTTTACCCCAAATTCGCTCCAATCGAGCAATAGGAAGAAGAGCATCGTAGTAGTACGAGTATAGTTGCATCACGGCAAATATCCGACAGCCTGGGACAATTCTTCCGAACAAAAGGATGTCGTCTGGCATAATATTCCACCAATCACGCATCTAGCCTCGTGTTGATCGAAGGCCATCTCCCCCCCTGTTCTCCCTTTACAAACCCTCCAACTTTAAAATGACAGAATGAGAAATCAGAGCAACGGAGAGAGCTTTGGTTGATATACTAATACAAAGCATTCATGACACAGGGGCTCATCATTGGTCTCATTGCGTCAAATAGCATAGGTCAAACCGGCAATAAACCATACACAGTAGGAAAGATAAAAATCATGAATGCTACCAACTCCTCCAACTCGCCTTTTGCCCCGCGGGTTTCGTCGTAAATAAGAAAAACACGGTAGTATAACCTCATCACTCTTCTCAAAGAAAAAAAAAAAGGAAGCTCCCCCAGAAGACACGCCACTCACTCCTTGACAACCTCGGCCAGCTCGTCCGCCACGGCTCGGCCAGCCGTGCGCCCCGAAAAGATGCAGCCGCCCAGAAAGGTGCCCTCGAGCGAATTGTAGCCGTGGACGCCTCCGCCGCCGAATCCCGCGACTTCGCCCGCGGCGTAGAGGCCCGGGAACGGCGTCATGTCTTTCCTCATGACGTTGCTGCTCAGGTTCGTCTCGAGGCCGCCGAGCGTCTTGCGGCTGAGCAGGTTGAGGCGGACGGCGATGAGGGGCCCGTGGGCAGGGTCCAGCAGCTTGTGCGGCGCCGCGACGCGGCTGCGCTTGTCTATCCAGTACGACCTCGCGTTGTGGATGAGCATGGCCTGGGCGTCCTTGGAGTAGGCGTTGTTGAACTGGTCGTCGCGGGCGTCGACAACCTCCTTGATCTTGTCGTAGTCGAGGACCGGGCCGTTGCGCTCCTTGGCCAGCTCGTTCATGCCGGCGACCAGCTCCTTGAGCGTGTCTCGCACGACAAAGTCCTTGCCGTTTTCCTGGAACAGCTGCACGTTGACGGTGCCCTTTGAGGAAAAGAGCCTGTTCTTGAGCAGCTCCCAGATGCTCTTGCTGGTCAGGTCCGGGTTCTGCTCGGAGCCGGAGAGGGCAAACTCGCGCGCAATGATGCTCTGGTCGAGGATGAACCAGCTGTAGTCGTAGCCCGTCGCGCAGATGGCCTTGAGCGTGCTGAGCGTGTCCGAGCCGGGGAAGAGATACGGCGGGAACCGCTTGCCCGAGGCGTCGAGCCACAGCGACGACGGGGCCGGCAGGATGCGGATGCCGTGGTTGGGCCAGATGGGGTCCCAGTTCTGCAGGCCCTCGGTGTAGTGCCACATCCTGTCGCGGTTGACGAGGTTGGCGCCGGCGTTCTCGGTGATCTGGAGCATGCGGCCGTCGACGTGGGCGGGCACGCCGGTGACGAAGAAGTCGGGCACCTTGGGGCCCAGGCGGTCGACGGGCCAGTTCTTCTTGACGGCCTCGATGTTGCCGCCGATGCCGCCCGACGTGACGATGACGGCGGCGCCGCGCAGCTCAAACGAGTCGACGACGGCTCGCGACGTCTGGACGCCCCGGGGCGAGTCGTCGGCCTCGAGCACGCTGCCCCTGACGCCGACCGCCCGGCCGGTGCCGTCCACGACGAGCTCGTCGACCTGGTGCCGGAACTTGAACGTCACGAGGCCCTCGTCGGCCGCCCTGCGCACCGGATCCGCAAAGACGCGCACCACCTCGGGCCCGGCGCCCCAGGCAATGTGGAAGCGCGGCACCGAGTTGCCGTGGCCGTCTGCCCGGCCGTCGCCGCGCTCGGCCCAGCCGACGTTGAAGAGGAAGCCCAGCCCGAGCGCCCGCACGTAGTCCTCGAACTCGTCCGTGGCGAAGTCGACAAAGGCCCGCGCCCACTGCCGCGGCCAGTAGTCCTCGTCGCGGTCGAACTGCGCGGAGCCCAGCCAGTCGCGCATCGCCAGCTCGCGCGAGTCCTTGATGCCCATGCGGCGCTGGCTGTACGAGTCGACGAGGAACAGGCCGCCCAGCGACCAGAAGGCCTGTCCGCCCAGGCTGTTTTCGTTCTCCTGGTCGACAATGACCGTCGGCACCTTGCGCTGGGCCAGCTCGTGGGCGGCCACCAGCCCGGCCAGGCCGCCGCCGACGATGATGACGGGCTTCTGCTCCTCTTCCGAGCCCATGGTGTGTGTGTCACTGTGGGGATAAAACGATTGACTTGAAAACGACCGACCGTATGTATATATATATATATAGTATAGAGACAGATGATGAGGAGGAGGAGGAGGAGGAGGAGGAGGGCTATGTAGGATAGATGAAGACGAAGAAGCAGCAGCAGCAGAGCCAGATACAGGTGAGGGGTTGGTGGGATGGACGATGAGGAGGTAACCAGAGATGACGACGACAAGATGAAGCAGAAACGGAGCACAAAAACAAAGAATACGAGAAAAAGTAAAAAAAATAAAATAAAAAATAGGTACGTCCAAGCTACGTGTACTCTACTCGCATGCGGGAATATTTTTTATCAAGATTTTTTGTGTTTATCCGTCGTCGAGGCTGCTTTATCTTGCATATGCAAAAGGGGAGGGCACGCTTCGATTGGGAGACTCTGGCCTGTTATCGGGTGATTTGCGACTGCCACGCCCGAGGTGGCTGCGTCCTCCGTCTCTCCAGCTACCAACAGCCAAGTAGATACCTATTACACCAGACTGATCCAATTACATACCTTATACATACACACACTATCTGAATAAACTCAATGGAACCACATCGACTTCACTATAAGAGAAACCGCCACAGGGGAGCCGTCCGTCACCGAGCCATTTACATAAGGTACATACATCCTAGTTCTCCTCAGCCCATCACAACCCAACGTTCTCTCGTATAAAATGACAGACAGCCCAATCAACAGCCTCAGATGAGTTTGTATAGCAGTCATTTCATCGCTCTTACAATGCACCTAAAAAAGAAACACGGATAAGACCTAGAATCTCGCACTCCGATCGGGGTCTTGATTCTCTCCAGCTGTCATACACTACCTACCTACCTACCTACCAGGTAACATCATCATCATCAATGGGTGTAAATCCCCGCATTCTCCCCCGCCAACCTCCCAGGACCCAAAATGAGATAGTATCATATCCAATACGTTATGCCATCCCCTCACCATCTCTTCATCTCACCAGGAACTACCCATTAATAACTCCTCCATCTCATCCAAGGACATTCTCTGCAGACAAGCCTGACAATCCTCCTCTGACCCTAACCCTCCTCCAGCATCCGTTCTTCTTTCTCTTCTCGCTCTAAAAGCCGAGGCATCTCATTATACACACTTGTCCCTCTATTAGTACTCTCTCCCCCCCGCCAGCTTACTGAAGTAGTCTTGGCCAGGCGCACAACCCCCCTCAATCTGTCGTGATGGTCTTTTCACATGCAAAAAACCCCCCGCCTTCCGCTCCCCCGCTCCTCATTGGGCCACTTGGGCTGAGGTGACCATCGAGCCACTTTGGGTGATATATGACGACTTTGTGCTCCAGCAGAATGCGCTACAAAATCACCACCTTGATGGCTTCTTCTCATCTCCTGACCTTGCCATGGCCCATTTGCCAAGTTGATGCATATCCATCAAGTATTGATCGTACAATTACATGAGTTTGTCAAGGACAAGGCAGACAGTATCAGGAGAACACCACACTGTCGTCTAAACTATGTATCAAGGCTACCCTGCAAGTGTTCGAGGCAACGCCTCATCCAGCAAGAGTCCTCATATCGTCGTCAACTCGTACCTAGGTACCCAGGTCAAAAGAGCAGCTGACCAGGTCATTATAAAAGCATCTATTGATACCATGACAATGAAATAATATCTATACTGTCTGCACCAAAAGTACAACAACGCAAACCGCAAGGGCAGAGCCATCATTTGACATTGTTGTGAATAATCAGGTTGGGCGAGTCCGTCATCAGGTTGACCACCTTGTTTTTCATCCCCAGCTGCAATATGCGGTCCGTCAGCTTCTGCGTCGAGTCAAACTCCTCCAACGCCATCAGGTACAGCGCCAGTCCGGCAACGTGAGGCGCCGCCATCGAAGTGCCCGATAGCACGCGCGTCGCCGTGTTTGTGCTCACATACGCCGACAAGACGTCTTCTCCGGGCGCCAAAATGTTGACCTGGGGGCCAAAGTTGGAAAAGTTGGTCTCTTGCCAGTCCGAGTTGATGGCGCCCACCGTCATCGCCTTGTCGGCGGAAGCGGGCGAGATGAACGTGGCCGGAATGCCCTTGTTTCCCGCAGCAGCAACCGGGAGGATCCCCATGTCGGCGATGTGGTCGATGGCGTCGTTCAACGCTTGCGAATAGGGTCCTCCTGTGCTCGGCGTCAGCTCACTCCACGCACTCCCACACATCAACACAAGTTCATCGAGGGCCACTCACCAAGAGACATGTTAATGACAGAACGGCCCTGGCGGCCCTTTGTCGTAATGTCATTGACTGCCCACTCGAGCCCCTCCATCAGCGTCGACGTCGTCGCCTCATCATCCAGAAACACCTTGACGCCGATGAGCTGCGTCTTCTTGGCCACGCCAAAGGTCTTGCCGCCGATGATGCCCGCAACATGAGTCCCGTGTCCGTTAATGTCCGTCGGCTCCGTCTTGGGCGGACTGAACCCCATGTAGGCGCGGCCCTCAAAGTCCACGTGCTTGGAGTTGATGCCCGTGTCCAGCACGTAGGCAAAGGTTCCCTCGCCCGCGCTCTTGTCGTAGCGGTACAGGAATCCGTGTGGCTTCTTGTTCGAGAGCGTTGCAAGGCCCCAGGGCGGCTTCTCCTGCGTCGCAACGTTGCCGTGAATGGTGTATATCTTTTCCCTCTCGATGCAGTCGATCTGACAAACACCCGGTAGCGTTAGAGAGACGACAAGACCAGCACCAGAGGCGACCATCTGCACTCAACCACAGACTCACAAGAGTATCGTTCCAAATCTCTCGAACCGTGTCTCGATCGAGGACGGCAGTGTATGCCCGGTAGTCGCCGATGGCATACGTCCTCTTGACGCCAGTGCCGCCTTCGAACGTGCTGTTCTTGTTGCGATATTGGACGGCGGAGACGCGCAGTAGATGCTTCTTCAAGTCCGTGGGCGACAGGCCCTGCTTCAGGCCGATGACGTACTTGTCCTCGGATTCGAGATCTTCGAGGCTCAGAATCTCACGGGACCTGGGGCTGAGGGCCGGAGAAGCCGTGGCATATGGCACGATTGCCAACAAGACGAGGGCCAGCTTTTTCAACCAGGCCATCTTTGCTGTTATTTGGACGCAGCTGTGTCTATATGTGTGGCGACGGTGGGAAAGACGCCAGAAAGAAATGCTCGTAAGAAAAAATATCTACTGATCCTCCAAAAGCCGACACTGAAGTTGATGGCAATGCTGGCGGAATGTGTCAAGACTCCAATCCTGTGCTGCAGACATTCGGTCGTGGCAGGTATATATAGCACATGCCTCTGCAACTGCCTCTTTGCTGGGCTTCCGTTTCCTCTCCCCCGCTTGAAGAGCCGATTGTGCTTGCATTTGCGACTGGATTCTTCCTGCCACCACCCAGCGGCCATTTGTTCATCACCAAGTCAAGTATCATCCACATCGAGCGTGTCACGCAGGGATCCAACAAATTCAAGATAATCGCTGATGCTATTGTAGGTATATATCAGTAACAATGAGAAGCCGTCTATAACGCCCGTACTTTGTCTGAAAATCCAACCGCTGCTTCTACCCTGCATAGCAGATCCCTTGTACCCTTCTTTCCGATCCCAACTCCAGGTATCAGACTCCGAAGACGAAGCAAACAAAGCAAAACACCCTTTCCCTGAACACCATATGTACAAGAACAGACTCGTCTCACTCAAGCTTAAGCCAGCACGCCGTTGGCTTCAACCTTGCCCAGCTCCTCCTGCTCGGCCGTGGTCGCAACCCTAGGGTTTCGGCTGGGCAGAGCAGGTAGTGCTTCGACCTCTTTGCGCGTAATGTTCTGCTTAGCCTCTTCCAAGCCCATTGACCTGAAGAATGAGATGGTCTCCTTCCATTCTTTTTGCTTTCGATCGTTTGACCACTTGAGCTCCTCGGCCATGACATCAATGACACGCGGTAGCGCACGCAGGGCGTTCTCGACGTCCAGGAAGGCGAGGCGCATGCGGCGGGAGATGAGATCGGCGGCGGTGCAAGCGGCTTCGGACCGAGCGCCATGGCGAATCTCGGCCTCAATGAAGGGCAGCGAGGGGATCAGGCGAGTGGCGGCGTTGGAAGCGGACAGAATAGCCCAAGCACGATCGCCGTAATTGTGTGCTAGGTGGTGGGCAACATCGGCATCGATATGGTGAACCTCCATCAGCTGAGAGGCCAAAGACGTCGAGTAGCCGTGGGCTCCAATCAGAGGGACCTTCTTGGTGATGCAGCGACCCGTTGTCTGAATACCAGGGAGGCCGGCACCGCTGATGTCGGGTAGGGAGACCACAGAGGGCGTAAGACCAAAAGTCTTGATCGCCTCGTCGACCGCGTCCTGGGCCATCTGGCGGTAGGTGGTCCATTTGCCACCGGCGCAGGTCAGGAGACCGGAAGGCGAGACGGTGACAAGGTGGTTTCGTACCAAAGACTCGGTGTTCTTGGCCTTGGGATCTCGGACCAGAGGTCGGATGCCTTCTCCATGTTAGTCCAACAAGTTCTCATCTTTATCTGCGGGTATAAGGAAGTGTCTCTTACCTGACCAGGTTGCCAGGATGTCGGACTGGCTCAGCTTCGCATCCGGTCGTAGAAGCTTGTTGACTTCTTTGAGAATAAAGTCCACGTCTTCCTTTGGCGCAATCGGCTCCCGTTCAATTTGGCAAGGATGGTCCGTCGTACCAGCAACGGTGTAGCCTTGCCATGGCAGCACGAAGACGACTCGCCCATCGGAAGTTCGCGCCTCGAGCAATCCCATGCCGTTCGGGCACACGCTGCCGGGGAACATGACGTGGGCGCCTGAGGCGGGAGCAACGAGCTCCATGCGCGATGGGTCATCCATGCGCTCAATGGCATCAGTGAAGGGCCCGGTAGCGTTGATGACGCCCTTGGCCCTCACGGTAAACTCCTTGTTGTCGCCGTCGGGCATGGTATCCCGGACAGTTGCGCCACGAATTCGCCCGTTCGCGTCTTTATCCAAGCCCGTGACCTCAACATGGTTCAGAACGGTAGCGCCGTACAGTTGGGCAGTCATGGCGAGAGAAACGTTCATTCGGGAATCGTTGTGCTGGCCATCGTAGTAGACCAGGGCACCGACCAAGTTGTCCTGGCGCAGCAGAGGGAAATTGGCAATAGCCTTGCTTTTGCTCATGAAATAGGAGCCCTCAAGGCCCTGTGAGCCAGCGAGCAGGTCGTAGGCCTTTGTGCCGATCCACATGTATGGAGCTTGCAGCCAGTTGTCGAGAGGCAGCAGAATTGGAAGCGAGTTGGAAAGGTGAGGCGAAATCGTCAAGAAGGTCTTGCGCTCGTGCAGCGCCTCCATGACCAGCTGCAGCTGGGAGTAGTCCAAGTTCATGACAGCCTTTTCGAGATAGCGCACGCCGCCGTGGACCAGTTTGGTGCTCTTGGAGCTGGTGCCCGCCGCGAAGTCATCGCGATCGACAACGGCCACCTTGAGGCCTCGAGTCACGGCGTCAAGCGCAATTCCAGCGCCCGTCGCGCCCGCGCCGATGACGATGAGGTCGTACTCGTCGAGGTTCTCATTGTCTTTGCTGTGGCGCCGCAATTCAGCCAGCTGCTGCAGGCGCGATGGAACGACGGGGAATGAAGGCGGGATGATGCGCCCATTGCTGTCGCGCTTGACTTCCGCGATCGGCTTCTCAGTTGTGTGCGATATTCTGGTGTTGGCGTAGAGAGCGGCACCTCCAGCGGTTGCGACAGCGCCGAGACCCAGCAGGGGCCGTCGAAGGCTTGAGAAGCCTCGAACCATGGTGATGAACTTGCGAAGCGGTTGTTGAAGAAAATAATACGACGGAACGCAGATAGCAGGGATCCTTTTGTTAGCAAAGCCTACCTGACCTCTGTGCAAAAACGCGATTGATGATGCTCCAAGGAGGTAGTTTCGTGGCGGGGGGATAAGGCGCTCTTAAAGGAGGTAACAAAAGTGACGACTTGCAGGAACTGCAGAGAGCACGAGGAGGAGAATGAAGAGAGGCGAGTCCACCGTGATGCTCGAAGTGGAACAAGAAGAATCAGAAGATAGAATTTGCGTCAGATGAGGTGACTTCAATGATGCAACCGAGACTGAGCTCGGTGAATGACGGCCGACAGACGCTTGAACGTGGGTCAAACGAGATTGGGCTTGATATGACGATTAGGATGGGGTCTCGACACTAATTCGTGGGGCGAAAGGGGCGAGGAGGAGAGGAGTGAGAGAGGATGGGGGAAAAGAAGAGAAGCAAACTTGGCAGAGTCGATATCAGAGGCTTCGCAGTCGTAAGCCTTGTATGTTTGACTCTGCTGAACGACCAAACCCGTAGCGCCTTCTAGGTCTTTCGTGCGACTTTTCCACGTGGTGGCTTGTTGCGTTGCGAGCCTCGAGGCACTGATTGCACTCTCTTCTTCCTTTTTTCGGAGACTTGGGCGCTGCTCACAGTCCTGCTCACAGTCATGCTCACAGTCAGGGCCGCAAACTTGGGCCACATCACTGCCACATCTTCGTGATGTCACGCAGGAAGGCCTGCCGGATCAGCAACGTCGACCAGGCTCTGGCCCTGCGATCCCGATGAAGCCGGCTCGGAAGAGGTCCAGCTCGGATTCCCTGAAAGGGTTCGAATCGTCAACTCCCGGCCAATCACGCCGCAGCCCGGCCTCCGGCGTACGGCCAGCGCGGGTCTCTGCTCCACGCATCTCCAAGCAGTGCGCGGATGGTTGGCGCTCAGAGTGGAACAGGGCGAGTCGACTCGGGGGCGATTCGGGGCTGACGATCCGAAGTCAATGAGCCACGCGCCCAGCCTGGGGCCATGAATGGACAGAGTCGATGACCAGCTCGGTTGTGGCGCGCGACAGGGGTTCCCTTGGCTGAGGGGGTCGGGAATGGCTCGGTAGAGAATCACCGAGAGCGACACGGCGTGAAGCTGTCAGGACGGGGTTAGAACCGATAGAGAAAGCCGTGATCGCGGCGCTCGTTCACCTGGCGTTGCCATTGGCGGAATGCTCCCATTCCGGAGCCTCGATGGTGATGGTTCCATATGAGGCATTGCATTCCCGGCGATGCGAGCAACTGCATGCCAGATGCTAAAAGGAAGAGGCGACTCCTCGAAAACAATCGCCGATTTGCCCTTGGCTTCTGCTGCCGCTTTGGTCACGTGCCGAGTTGGAGAAACACCAGCCACAACCAGCCACATATTAGTCAGCCAACCACGATTCGACGGCCGGTACCGGATAATTCTCCTCCAACATCAACCACACAACAGGATTGACGACCAGGGCCAGGGTTCAATCGTCTTTATCCGCGAGCCTCCCTCCAGTCTCAAAAGGGATACACGCCTTTTCAGCTCCATACGAACACCAGCTGCATTCAGCTAATCAGCTGCCACAAGACCATTGAGCCGTCAATACGATTCAGCCGTCCACAATGTCGAGAAGAGCAAGCATCCTCATGCATCGTCTCACATCCTTCAACTTTCAGCTGCCCGCACCATCATGAAACCTTTTCAAAGAAGAGGCACCGCACATTTCTTACGGCACGTCTCCTCGACGATGGCTTCAAGCTTTCCTCCAACGGCAACTCTTCAGCGTACCGGGATTTACGCGGAAGTAGCAACACCGTTTCGGTCACGATGTCTCCGTTTTCTCGCCAGTCTCCTAGCCAAGTACGGCCAAAGGCGCAGGGCGTGTGCATACGCTTGATACCTACCAGGTAGTATCGTCAACGCAACGCAGAGGCCACCTCCCGAAAACGAAAGGAAGGAAAAGGGAGGAAAACGACAAGTCTCACTTCTCTTTCCGCGGCCGCCAGCTCCACACGGACCAGGTGACCATACTGCAGGCTCTGTCGTCTTTTGCTCCCCTTTGCTCGGAGAAGCCCGTGCAACACTTTACATGGTGTTTCTGGCTGAGCACGGGATACACACCGCAAGGATTCAGAGACAGCAGAGATCAGACGATGAACATGGCTTGGCAACAACGGCTGGAGGCGATATCGCTTAGTGACGCTCAGACCCAGAGCTTACCGGCAACGTTATTGCTTAGTCGGCATCTCACGATAGTGGCAACGAGCCTCGCCGGTGGACGCGTATTGGCAAGCGGTGTCGATTCTGGTGGCAACCCCATGTTTTAGCAGCATCAGGCAAGTGCCAGATGGCTGAGTTCTCGGCCCGCATTGCTGTGCATTGAGCTGAGCTGAAGAGGTCCGATGCATGAGCTGTCCAAGTATGCGGGCTACAGCTGGTCTCATGCACTCAGTCCATCTACATCGCAGGCTGTTGGATCATGCAGACAGAGGTACCGTCTTCCCTCGCCAATCTATAGGGTGATCATGGTTTTGTGGTCATCTCGTCTGCTGCGGTCTCATCAAGGCCCCCAATCATCGAAACTACCTCAGAATCCTCATGCTCTGCTTTCATCACTTGTCATCTCTCTCACTCGCTCGGCATCATGTTTCCAGCAGGTTGGTACCAGCTATTATATGATTACCTTCCCCGTTGTTTTGAGGGTTCTCATCATGCATACACGCATCCTTGTTCCGCCTTTCTCCCCTTATCGATCACAAAGACAAGACGGACACCATCTTTTGATGCTCGATGCTCGAGGTCAACTTTGTACACAATTCTTGTCGAGTTTGAGGGTGGAATCAAACATTACCTCAGTATTATACCGCTCGCTAAACTATCATCTGCTATACCAATACATTTTTACCTATACACCCAACCATATACTCCAAGCTCTCATACCCACAAGACTCCTGAAAAGCGCCTGAAAAGGTTCGCCATCGGTTCATCAAAACACATCGTCAACTTTTTTTTTTTAAGTGTTCCCTCCCTTTTCCCCTTTTTCATTGCTGGCCCACATCTTTTTCCATAATCCCTCCAATCATATATGATTCTGTCTTTTTCTTTGGCTGTATTCATTACCGAGACAATCCCCGTCCTGTTGTTATCATTATCTTAGGGTAACATCCCCAGCATCAGACCAAGTTCTAGACCTTCGTCTCGATGGTGGACTGATGGGTGTTGGACCACACGCTTCTGCGGGGCCGCATCAGACGTTGCAGTCCCAGCATCGGGGTGTTGATGGGGCTGGGGCCGGTGAAGATGAAGACGTCGTACAGAAAGCCACCAAATGCGCAGCCTAGGAACGGGGCAACCATGGGAATCTGCAGCTCATGGTTAGCAGACGACACATCACCATGAACCGTTGAACCGTTGCCACCGCCAAAGAGGGGAACCACAAAGGGGGAACGATAGGAAGAGACACGATACATACCCAGAAATAGTAACCGCCCGCGGACCACACCTCATGACCATATCCAATCATGTAGGACACCAACCGAGGACCAAAGTCACGAGCCAGGTTGATGGCATAGCCCGTCTCCCAGCCGAAGCAAGCACCGATGCCAAAGATGAGGAAGAACAAGCACAGCGGCATCAGGTTCCCAGCGCCGATGTTGTTCGGATCAGCCAGGGCGAAGATGCAGAACATGAGGATGCTGCTGGCGACGAACTCGGAGAAGAACATGCCGGTTCGGGTCATGAAGGGCGCAGGGTACGTGCAGAAGACGCCGGCGGTGGCGGTAGGCCCCGTCACGGTCCGGATCCCGGCGCCCCCCTCAAAGGCATCAAAGGCCGACTTGTAGTTGCCATAGACGATGGCGGCGCCGGCCATGGCTCCGAGGAGCTGGGCCAGGGCGTACACGGGCAGCTTACGCCAGGGGTGGCCGCGGTACAGGCAGTTGGCCAAGGTCACCGCAGGGTTGAGGTGACCGCCGGATTTGCCGCCGACATAGACGCCCAGCATGACGGCGATTCTGGGCTGCTGTTAGTCGGACGAGGCTCTCTTTCGTGATACTATGGCACTTGACGAAATGCGGATGACCGCACTGAAGACTTACCCCCAACCCCAGGAGATGCTTTGGTAGTCACCCTTGGTGCCGCCACTCAGCACGACCTGCGCAACGACACCATCGCCGAACAGGATCAATGTCATGGTCCCGAGGAACTCGGAAAAGAAGTCCTGGCAGTAGTTTCGGATCTTGCTCCAAGCCAGCAGCTCCTCCTCCTCCAAGGAAGGCGTCAGGAAGATTGCTCTCTCTGCATCATGGATGTTTGGATTTCCCATGTTGGTGTGGTGAATGGGAATGGGAGCGATCTTGTCGATGGAGAACTCAGATGCCTCTGCAGACTCGGACATTTGTCAAGATCTTTCAATATCCTGGCTATGTGTATATCTGGTTAACGATATGCAAAAGCGATCACTGGTCACAGAAAACAGGAAAAAGAGAAAGAAAGCAACGTCCGAGTCTGGTTCTAGAAATGGGTGAGGGTGGGTGGTGTTGTCAAATTATAGCTCTTTTGCCCCCTCCCTCCCTTTAGGATGCAGCAACAACCAGACCGGCCTTCACGATATCTACCCTTTCCCAAGCTTGGCAAACGACAAAAGAGACGATTACTATTACGTCTCTCTTATCGCGGGTCTAGGTACGCAGCTACCGACCACGCCCTACGAGCAATGCACAGGTCCTAAGGCTGGCTGGCATAGGAAAGCAGAAAGGCGACGACCAAAAGACCGGGTACGTCGGTGCTGCAAGCGCACGATGAGATGAATGGGAGGGGAAGGGGGGAGGGGTGTGTGTCCGCCAGATGAGCAGATTGCGCACACAGAGTGACAGGTCTGAAGAGACTGTCGAACAGAAAAGGAAGACAGATCTGGTCGAAGCAAACAAGGGTTCGCCCGCCTTGCTGCGTTGTGGACCTCGAGAGCAATCGAGAACACGTTCTCCCCCGCCTTCGAGTACGGGGGATGAGACGGAAACCCTGGAGACCAACAATGGCGGCAAAGAGATACAGGAAGAAAGGAAGGGGGGGAATGATGCAAACGAGCACTAGGGAAAAACCAAGAACCAATGATTCGAAGCTTGGGTGATGCCAAGGGCTGCCAACGTTGGTCGAGACGGACGACGGGAACTGAGAATCGGATGATGCTGGATGAGTTGACCGAAAGGCTGGCTGGCCTCGGGGTTGTTAAGGCGCAGTCTCGGGGTCGCCATCTCTTTTACGACACATGCATTCGGCGGCTTACACCGAAACACTTCATGTCACTCGGGCTGTTCCATTGCCGTTGCCGTTACTGCTGTGCTACTACGGAGGTGGTAGTACTCAACAACAGCGACTGTCTCACGAGAAGAAAAAAAAAAACTGGCGGGCAACAGGCCATGGCCGAGGTCCAACTTCGCACACACTCGGGAGGAGACTTGTGTCCGTGGAGGGCATCAAATATGCATACGCAACCATATGCACCCCTCCCCTCCCTGGCTAAACGGTACTCGTACTATCGTGGCGGCGGCTAGGAAGGACCCTGGTGAGACGTCTCGATTCCCGGCCGCCGCCGGACGTGGCCGGCTGCAGAGGTCGTCTTAGCGCAAAAGAGCGGAGTGAGAAAGCAGCAAGCTCTTGTCTCTTGTCACAAAAGGAGGATTTGGCGGTGCGAGCGAGCGAGTGAAAAGGGGGAGAAAGAAAGAAAACACGAGACGGCAACAGACGAGAGAAAAGAAATAAAGAGCAACGATGCATCCCTTTTATCTTGGAGTCACACGAACAGTATCCAGAACGACGACTTCCCTCTCAGGCAACAGATCAGCACAAACAACATTAAGCTTCTGGGTCCTGTACAGACCTGCACATGAAGCGACCCCCTAGTTGCGCCAGCCATGCTTGATGCAAGGATGGAGCGGCGCGCATCCCCCGAATGGGGAAGAAAAGAGGACATTGCCGTGTGTCTGTCATGCACAAGTGCAAAGCATTATTACGGCTGCCTACTACTAATGCGAGGGGAACGGCAATGCCCATCGTCGCTGGCTTCACCGGAGAAGAGCCGCGCCTGTCAAAAGTCTCTGCCCGTCCCGTGGCCCTTTTCTCTCTCCCCCCTTTCCCTCCCGCCTCTCTCCTCCTCTCCTCTCTTTTACCGTTACCATATCCATTAGTCAAAAAGCGCCAACTCCCACATCGGACCACGGGCGCTTATCCGGATCCTGGCTGCGGGACGACGGGATGGGATGGGATGGGTGGTGTGTGCGAGTGAGAGGAGAGAGGGAGAGAGACCTTGCAGATTTCGGGCTCGGCCCAGCCACTTTCGGTATTGCAATCCCAAGCTGCAGCCCCCACCCCTCGCTATTCTCTCCGATCCAAGATCGCGGCCATGCTTGGGGGCTGGGGGACTATTTCCCGAGCGGTAGTGGCTTTCTAGCTGCGTTCCAGAGTGCTTAGAGCTTTCCCCAGGCGAGAAGAGCAGCAGCAGCATGCAGCAGCAGCAGCAGCAGCGCTTGAAGCTAAGGTAGCTAGCTAAAAGGGTCCCGTTGAGCTCTGGATGGGAAGATGGGCAGCTTGCTTTAGTGAGGAGGTCGGGGCGGCAGTGGCCCGAGGGCGCGGCCCTTTGGGGTCACGATGGGAAGCACTTGATGTGGTCTCCTCTGCATCTCTGCATCGGGGCCCCGGATCTGAGCTCGGGATGCTGATGCCCGAAACGGAGGCGCCCCTTGTAACGGTGCGATGTACTACTGTCACGTTGCGCGCGGGGGGGGCCTTTTTGGAAAAGGGATCCCTTTGGGGCTGGGCTCGATCTCTGCTAGTCACATGCGGCGCACTGATTAAAGTGCAGTCCATCTTCGATGGCTGAAAAGCCACAACGAGCCCAACCTGAACGGGGGAAGCCGAGGCAGATACCGAGATGTTGTAGCACGGAAGTCATCTCGTCTAGCTGCCCGTGGGGAAAAAAAAAAAAGTAAGCCGGAACCGCAGGTCCAGGCCTGCGGCTGTACAAAGGAGCAAACACGATACAAACACAATACCACCCTATGGTAGCATCAATAATCCGTAATCGTAATAGCATGGGCGAATATTTGCCCTCTCGGTACGGCGCTCCGTAATAAAAATAACACCCCCCCAAATCTCGGTGCCCCCAATTCGGGTCTTTTTCTCCACCAGTTCGGAACCCTCCCTCCTATGTACTCTCTCTCTCTCTCTCGTTGGTTGGGGGAGAGCGAGCGAGCGAGAGAGAGAGGCAGTGAAAGGCTCAGGCTCGGTCTTTGCTGCGCCAACCCTCGCCCATGTCATCTCCCCCTGATTAGCGCCCTCACCTCAGTTTCTCGCCCCCTCGTGACCGTTTCCGCCTCCACAATCTGGGGAGCCTGGAATTAGCAACTGTGGAACTGAGGGGTAGATCCCACGCGTCCCGTTAGTAAGTGCTTAAGCGCCGTGCGAAAGGGTGCGAGCACCGGAGTCGATGTCGAAATACTGATGTCCTCCCTGGAACCCAATTACTCCGGGGGGCGACTAAAGCAGCCCAGCCAGCCAAACTAGCAGCAAGGCACACGCTCACACTAGTAATGCCCGGCCGGCGGATGATGTTGCTTGTCTGCTTGTTTCTTGTGTCAGGGCCAGGAAGCCAAATCTTGTCTGGGGGGGCGACATAAAGGGCCGCTCGTCGGCCTACCTTGAGCCACGCAACCACACACCTGTCCGGTTTCCTCAATTCCTTATACCACCAAACGAACCATAACAACAACGCTCTCCTCCTCCTTCATCCTCCTTCATCATTGTATCATCGTCATAGCATTGCGTTGCCAGCTCTGTTGTGTCTGTCAGTTCATATAACAAAGCCTTCCGTGTCTCTTTCTTCCTCTCACACTATATTTTTTTTTTTTCACCTCTCATCACAAAGACCCACACCTTTTCCGCCACAACTGCTCCTACCAAAGGCACACTCGCACCTTTGAATGATCTCCTCCTTGTCCAAAAGACTCAAGTCCAGAAGAAGTTCACGGAGTTCCAAAGCCATGATCCGACCCAGCTTCGTCGGAGCCATAGACCAGGGCACCACCAGCTCTCGGTTCCTCGTCTTCAACCAGAAGGGTGACATGGTCGCAACACATCAGCTAGAGTTTCAGCAGCACTATCCGCATTCTGGGTACGTTTGTCGATCGCCATGATGTCACATGAATTTCTTGATGTCATTTTTGAAATTCGCAACGCAACAAGAAACGAGAAGAACTGACATCATTCGCAGATGGCATGAGCAAGACCCTGAGGAGCTCGTCCGGTCAGTAGAGATTTGCGTAAATGGCTGTGTCGAGGAGTTTGAGAACCAGGGCCACACCCGCGAGCAGATTGTCGCCGTGGGCATCACCAATCAGCGCGAGACCACCGTCGTCTGGGACAAGACGACGGGCAAGGCGCTGCACAACGCCATTGTCTGGACTGACGCTCGATCACAAGAGCTGGTCCGCAAGCTGAAGCACCGCATCGGCTCCGGCGAGCTCAACAGCCGCTGTGGCCTCCCTCTTTCCACATACCCGTCCGCCAGCAAGCTGTTGTGGCTCCTTGAGAATGCACCCGCGGTCAAGGAGGCCTACGAGCGTGGCACTCTGGCATTCGGCACAGTCGACTCTTGGCTGGTATACAAGCTGAATGGCGGCCCAGCCCGCAACATCCACGTCACAGATCCCTCCAACGCCTCGCGGACAATGTTTATGAACATTGAGACCCTCGAGTACGATGATGACCTCCTGGACTGGTTTCGCATCGATCGCAATAAAGTCACGCTTCCCAAGATTGTCCGCTCTTCCGACCCCCAGGCGTACGGCTCGCTCACCACCACCCACCTCAAGGGCGTCAGGATCACCGGATGCCTTGGCGACCAGTCTGCCGCCTTGGTTGGCCAAAAGGGCTTCTCCGCCGGCCTGGCCAAGAACACATATGGCACCGGCTGCTTCCTGCTGTACAACGTAGGCTCCAAGCCCGTCATTTCCAAACACGGTCTCCTGACTACGGTTGCATTTGACTTTGGCGAGGGCAAGCGGATGTATGCTCTCGAGGGCAGCATCGCCACCGCCGGATCCAGTGTCATGTTTCTGGTAAATAACTTTGGCTTCATCGACTCGCCATCCAAGCTGAGTGTTCTCGCCGAAGAGGTCGAGGACAGCGGAGGCTGCACTTTTGTGACTGCATTCAGTGGTCTCTTTGCCCCTTACTGGATCGACGACGCTCGAGGAACCATTTTCGGCATCACTGCCTACACCAAGCGTGGCCACATTGCCCGCGCCACCCTCGAGGCCACATGCTTTCAGACGCAAGCCATTCTGAAAGCCATGGAGAAGGACAGTGGAAAGCCCCTCACAGAGCTCCGCGTAGACGGTGGCATGTGCGCTTCCGATTTGATCATGCAGGTACGTGTTAAATCCCTCCCTCCCAGCTTGATCACCCAGGCTAACAAAGTATTAGACCCAATCAGATTTCATTGGCTTCCCTGTCAACAGACCAGGAATGCGTGAGACAACGGCGCTTGGTGCTGCCATGGCCGCAGGCCTCGCCGTGGGTGTCTGGAAGAGCTTTGAGGATCTGAAAGACGTGAACAACGAGGGCCGCACCATCTTCCGGCCTCAAATCTCAGAAAAGGAGGCGCGCAAGAAGTTTGCCCGATGGGAGAAGGCCGTCGATATGAGCAGAGGATGGCTGAATGAGGTCGAGGTACAATAATGCAGTACCTAGTGTTTGATTTGTTTATACTTATGAAGCGCTTGTAATGTTTGTCAGTTCAGAAACCCATAATACATCAGCGGTTTGCCTGTTCATATTATGGACCCTAGATATGCCGACTGCGTCGGCCCTGATGTCCTTGGTGGACGATGGTGGTGCGAGCACGCAAGGACGCAGACACACTCGCATAGATGCACGATCTGTATTGTGACCGCGATATGCACATCTTCCGCGTCGTACATTGCATTGCTCCTAGCAAAGGGCCCGAGGGCTGAGGGTGTCGCGGTAGCATGGATCACACATATGCATGCCGCTCGACCTCCCAATCCAACATCTCAATGCAAGCGCTGTGGCTTGAGGCATTGCCAATCCCACATCCTCGCGTGGCCCGCATGTGTGCTCGTACGAGCTGGAGTAGGCCCCACGATGTCGCCTCCCCGGAGCCATCAATGCAAGTCCGGAAGCCCACCGAGGCGTGTAGTATTGTCGGTCCTGTTGTGGTGATGCACCCTGTCGAGTTCCCACCATATAAGGCTTCGGGGTTGTATTCCCGGGCTCGTTGATCAACCCATGCAGTGTCTCGGTTTCCAAAAGACCGAGTGAGGGTGGAGACGAGGAGCGGATCGCCAGACAGGATTACTGACTGACATTCCGTTTCATTTGGCATCGCCAAGACAGCGTAACGGAAGCGAGGGGACGCTAATGGAGGTCGTGTCCATTGATCACGGCCGGGGAGGGTGTTTGCTCTGCCAAGCCAAGTAACCTCGATGATCCATTTCCTTGTCTGGAGAACAAAGACTGCCAAAGACCCGCGAGCTTATGTGTGGCAGTCGCTTGACAACCCCGGTCACTAGCAAGTGCCAGTAGAAACGATTGGAGAACGATTGGGGCCGCTCAGATAAAGTTCTGCCTTCTCCGCATTCTTGTCGACGACCGTGCTTGGCTTTTGAAGACCAAGATGTCGGTGCTTTTGGGGTATGTATCCAGATACGGACTCGAACAGCAGCAGTTGAGCGGCATCCCTGCAGGAGCGGGGGCAGTCGGCAATTTGTGAAAACCTCACCAAAGGCCTCGATTCTTCCCTACCTAGGCCGAATCGCAACTTAGCCTCCGACGAGCTCCAACGGAGGAGCGATACGAGAACGGCTAGTGAAGCCCTCGTGGTGGGAGCCCTCAACACGCGGGTTTGCTGACCAGGGGCCTTCCAACGCCGCAGCGCTAGGCGCAAATGTGGTCTCGGAACTCGAGGTGATCCCCGGCTTGGAGAAGTTGCGGACGCATGGAGGGCGAGAGGGTGTATGGCGATGCTCTGCGTTTGGGAGGCAGTTCGATCTGGAGGTGTCTCGTGATGCTCGCTCGGTGCGTCAAGGCGGCACTTGGCAAGGCAGCATGACGGAACGTTGATTGAGACTGTCGACAATGAATTCGGACGCAGCCTGATGGAGTGAGATTGATTAGATGGTGATTGGAAAGCCGGCCGGCCGAGTGGCGTTGGCTCGAGAAGCGACGGACACACCCTCACCACCACATGCAGCCTGCGGAGTCGTGGCATGAAGCCGCGGCATCTCGACTCTCCAACCACTTCCCCAAACGAGACAGGCCAAGGATCGCGGGGAAGGCAAAGAACGAGACCAATTGAGCGCATTTCCAGCATCGTTGTCAATGCCAAAAAGCTAGGTCACGGAATGGGCTGATGGCTAAACGGCAGAAGCAAACAATGGAGATGGCAGAAGTTCAATGCCTACCAGGTGGCCTTGTCGATTCCATCTGACAGCTGGAGGAAACTAGTAGGTAGCCCGACTAATGGGGAGCAGCAGGGCATGTCCCTGCCCGCCTGCAAACGGTCCATCTGTACATAGTACGCAGTACATGTAGGTAGCTGATAGCCCCCCAGCCCCCAAAGAGCCTGTAGTTGGCGCCTAGAGCTGCCCGTCATGCGTGCTGTAACTGGGCCGCTACAGCGCCGCCAGGGGTCCTCAACAGCAGAGCCCAGCGTAATTCCCGGCTGCTGGACAGTTGAGGTAACGGACTGGATTGGACAAGTCCCCGATCGTTACTAATGAGGAAAATAGACGACCAATAACAGGCCACGATCCCCCACCTCCATCCCCGAGCCTTGCAGAGGCGACCAAAACCACCACGAGTCCGAAGGCCAGACTCGCCGTGGGTTCAGGGCCAGGAATCAAATGACGAGATACTGCCCCCCCGCGTATCCCCAGCGGCGTCGACTCCGACTTTCTGCATGCGCGATAGGGCACAAGGCCGCAGCACCGATCCAGCCCGGGGCCGCCTCGAGCTCAGCTCATGCCCATCTGAATCATGCAGCACGCGCCGCTCTCGCTGTCCATGGCCGAGGACGACGCAAACTCGGCATCGAGCCACGACGACGGCTCCAGTACCGACGAGGCCACGCCTGCCGTTGCCTCGTCGTCGCAGAACGGCTCTGAGCAGGTGGCCGGCAAGAAGCGCAAGCGGGCCAAGTATCAGAAGACGTCGTATGTACTGATCTGTCCTCTCATCTACCTTACCTATCTCTGCTGGCCTCTATCAATATCTCTCCTTGTTTCTCAATACATCCCCCCTTGCCTTTTCATCCCGATTCCCCCCTCATGATCTCACATCAAATCATGTCGCCTCGGGCTACACAGGCCATGACTCCCAAGATTGAGTGAATGCGACAGCCACTCGATCCGCATACAAGAACAGCCTCGCTGACCCTCTCATCTCTCTTCTTAGCTGCGAGCTCTGCAAAGCGCGCAAGGTCAAGTGTGACCGCGCCGAGCCCGCTTGTTCATGGTGCGCGCGGCACAACCGGACCTGCGTCTACCTTGAGAGGCAGAAGCCGGGCAGCCGCATCGGCTTTAGCCTAGAGCTCGAGGCCAAGGTCAACCGCATCGATGCGTTACTGCAGAGCCTGGGGCGCCGTGTCGAAGAGCACATCGCCAACGATCATCTACCCGGCTCACAGACTCAGGGCCTCTCGCCGGCTCTCAGCAGCCACCTGCCATCTCCAGCTGATGCCTATCATCAAGACGGGGCGAGGCTTGGTCCGGTGGGAGCTGCTCGCAGCACGCCTACTCTAAGGCCAGGCCTTGTAAGCCCGTCATGGGATGCAAATGGCGCCGACAACTACCAGGATGCGCGAATGCCCCCCCATGCCAACACCAACTCACCTGTGGTCAACAACGCGTATGCCCACACTTACCCGTCCTCTACCTTTTCAGCCTCTCGAAGAGGACCCTCGTCCATATCCGCCGTCAACGATTTCCCCCCTCACGACATTGTCTATACCATCGTCGATCTCTACTTCAAGCACTGCAACCCCTGGTGCCCCATCTTGGACCGCAAAACCACGTTCGGCCTCTTTTTTGGGTCGACATCCCTCAACGAGCCGGACCGTGTGCTTTTACATGCCATCGTGGCTACGACCTTGAGGTTCCTCAAAGACCCTCGGCTGTCCCCGGAGATGAGAGCCCATCATCATGCCGTGTCGAAACGAATCGTGCAAATGTATACGATGGAAAACGTGAGCGTCCCCGCGCTCAGGGCCTTAATCATACTTAGCTTGGATGAACTAGGCACCTCGAACGGCCCCAAAGGCTGGAACCTCCTTTCACTTCTGGCACAAAACGTCAAACAGCTGGGGCTGTGCGAAGAAAGCAGCGTCTACCTCTCCGTCCAGTCTGACAATCTGCCGCACACGGGGTCCATACGAAGAGTCACTGCTGGACGGCCGGACTCGTGGATTGAGGATGAAGGGCGGCGGCGGATGTGCTGGATGGTGTATCTGCTTGACCGATACGCAACGATAGCCACGACAACCTTTGACTTTATGCTGGAAGACAGAAAGATGCAAAGGGTTCTTCCGAGCTCTTATGATCTCTTCTCCAGAAATGTTCCAGTCGAGACGCGGTCTTGGGTATCGACATCCCAGCCGTACGGCACGACGGGATATGCCACCAATAAGCCGGAAAATCTGGGCAGCTTCTCGTACCACTGCGAAATCCTGAGGATACTCAGCAAAGTGCACGAGTTTCTGAAGACGCCTCTCGACATCACATCTTCACCCGATGTGGCCAGCTGGCGAAACACGTACCGATCTTTAGACAGCGCACTTGACGGCTGGCTGAGGAGCCTGCCCAGCGACTACAGCAAGATCTCGGCGCTCTGCCACTCTGACCCGGGGAGCCGAGTGGCAAACTGGTTCATGTTGCACGGCGCCTACGTTACGTCTGTCGTGCGACTGCACTCCTCAGCGGCGTATCCGACCGTTAGGTCGCACCTTTTCGTCCCCTCGTATTACGCCATGCAGCGGTGCTTGTCCGCCGTTCAGAGTCTCGCAGACATTGCCCGAGATGTGTTTGAAGCAAGTGGTTTGGATAATCTCGGGCCTCCCTTCATCTTTGGTCTCTGGGTTGCCGCAAGGCTGTTGCTCGTCCATGCGGCCTCTATCGGCTGCCCTGTCGACCCCAAGATTGAGTTCTTCATCGAGATTCTCGGTCATATTGGGCAATACTGGGAGGTTGCCAACAACTATGCCAAAATTCTTTCCAGAGCCGTCCAGAGAGGGCGGCAAGGAGACATGAACTTTACAGCCATGCGAAGGTGAGTCTACTGTTGAGTGCCCCCCCGTTGTTTCACAGCTCCATGTACTTACTATTAGCCGACAGGAGCGCGCACGATCTTGCAACTTTGACATCATCAACGCGACAATCGGGCTCGGAGCCGACATCGACACAAGTGACTTCGCTAAGCGAGCTGGACAACATTGACATTTTCGACTTCTTCAACTACCCAAAATTGCTGGATCCGAGATCATCGAATGGCCAAGCATGGCATACCCAGGGCGTCAACGGGTTGACTGGGGAGTCTATGAGGATGCCGGATCCCGAGTCAGATTGGTTAGGGTACAACTCGCAGTTTCAATAACGGGTGGCGGCATGGAGGTTTCCTGTTTCAGCGTAAATAGTCATGAGCGGCGATACCCTGAGCAGCAGTTTATGCGTGGAGTCGGTGCGTCTGGATATGAGTGTCTTGGGTATATATATCAATCTCTTGAAATTGTACATAGTTTTGTTGTTGACACTTATTCAAGTAATGGTACCAGTTACTCCAGGGCATGGTGAATATTGTTCATTAGAGCTTTACAAAGTTGATATCTGATGTCTTGCGTGGTTAAGGAGTGATAGTAAGCACGTCGAATCCTGAAGCACATGCATAGCTCATCAGCCTACGATGCTTTCGATCCAACCATCGTAATGCTTCTACTCCTTGACTTCCTGCAGTTTGCCAGTCTTGATATCATACACATATCCATAGACTTTCAAGTTCTTTCTCAAGTACGGGCTATCCTTGAGAATCTTCATATCTTCAACAACACTAGCCTTCAAACTATAACACACGGCATTCTCAGCTTCGAACTTCCCAAAAACAATAAGTTGCAAGAATCGGCTACTTACTCGACAATCTCGCCAAATTCCATTTCAGCAATTTCTTCTGCATTTTTAGGTGCCTTTTCAGTTAGAGACTTATGCAGATAGTCGTTTCGGAGGTGAGTTAGTCCGCAGTCTACGCAGCAGGTAATCCGTTAGATGCTTGAATTACTACTTGTTGGTATCACTTGGGCAAGGAGAGAGGGAAAAGATTACGCACCGGTGTGGTGGATGACAATGACTGCTCCGACGCCAAGCATCTGGTCGACGCAAATGATTGAGCGAAGAGCTTCGCTGGCACGCCCACCTGCATTACGAACCTCGCTGAATTCTGTGAACAAGTCAGGAGGTGGTCGGTTCCAAGATTCTGCAAAGGGGGATTCGGTTGGGTAATACTCATGCCGATTCCTCCAAAAAATCTGTCTGGAAGGACACGAGGGTCACAACAAGTCACTGCAAGCAAAATGATATCAGTTACTGCCTTACATGAGGAGAAAGTCTTTGAAGGGGCCGTTGGGGTTACCAATCATGAGCACACTTGCACCAGGAGGCAGCGTTGCCTTCAATTCCTCGAAAGTTGGCAAAGGCTGGTGCGTCAAGGAGCATTTCCTTGAAGACAAATAAGCGTTGGAGGAAACTTATTGTAAGAAAGATAGGAGGGGTCCTTACTCGGCATGCTGGATGAGGCCCTGACGAGTTCTTCGTGGAAAGCCATTGTGCGCTTGCTGAAACTTGGTGAAGATGAGGAGCTGATTGTGATAGTTGTTTTTACAGAGAGCAGAATAAAACAGAGTCGGTGAGCTAAAAGAGCTCTTCTTGTACATGTCTGCAGCGGGGGGTACTGCCCTATCATGATATTGTCAACAAAGAAGTAAACGCGAATGGTTTCCTGATACGGGATAGAAGCAAAATATGCTTATTTCAAAATGGCCAGTGATCTCACCATCTCCTTGTACGCAGAACTTATACATAAGGCACTTTAGTAATCTCGCCATGCGCTTCCTAATATGGATATCCCTCTTGAAAACTGCAAGAGTCACTCTAGCCAACGGTGTGAAATAAGTACATATAAGGGGGAATACTCACAGAAGGAATTATAGGTAAGGTAGTTATCTATAGGAATTGCCCATGTGGACATTCTCAAGTCTATCATCATACTCTAACAAGACCGAAAAGTCTCACGGAGACTTCCTTTCTCCGATCGGAGCAATATGAAAGGCAAGCCGTATTCCCATCGAACCAAGCCTTGAAATAATCTCCTCACACCACAAAGTCTCTTGCAGCTTATTCTCTCGACTGAAGACCTGTAACGCCACGTTCAGGGGAAATAGCATTGCAGCTGGACCGTAAAGTTTCATCTCGGGTCGGAGATGATACCTGACACTTTGACAGATATCGTTTGCCAGAGTCAACTTTCTGTCTGACAAGGCTATGGCTCTTTGCTTTGGGATGTTAGAGTTGTCAATCTCGTGCTTGTCAAAAACAGCTTGCAAAGTCTCCATCGATATCTGCACAACCAAAAGAACACCCCAGTAATGAGTAATGGTGTTGGCGACCAACACATTGGTGAACTCATATGAAATGGGGAATGGACTGCCGGTGTACGAAGGTAGTGCCACGGGCCACCAAAGGAGTCTGGATGCTGCGCTCGTGTTAAGGTTTGTCTCCCAATCTTCGAGGCGAAGCATCTGAGCATTGAAGTCCTTATACAAAGCCACAATATTCTCGCTTTGATCCTTTGGGCCGCTGTTGGAAATGGCATCGAGCCGCTGTAAAAGTGCCGGTAGACCAGAAATCTGATCCAGCAGACTTTGCATCAACGATTTCGATTCTGATGAAAAAGATTTTGCCTTCCAGACGGGCTCATCTAGGAATGTTTCTCTGCGGTGTTGGATGGCTTCAAGAAGCTGTTCCATGTGTGAGTGACGTCGTGGATGGTTTACGCCAGTGTGTTTGACGTACCATGAGCACGCGAAAGCTCGTGAAGAGCTGATGTAGAATGCCATCCTTGAAAGCATCGGGTCCTTTTTCTTGTATTAGCTTGGAGATACCTCGAGTGTGCGTCAGCCAACTATTGTGCTCTGTGTCTAATAGGACCTGAGAAGGAACAATGTCAGTGATCTGCAACAATACCAGGCAGCAATTTTTCGTACTTCAGCAACAGTCAAGCATAATATGACCGTCAGCAACTCCTCGAATGAGCCCTCTTCGATGCTACCGAGGGTAGACGCGAACAAACGAAGTGTCTCGCCATACTCTTCAAGCGCCCGTGGGACGTCGCCCAGAATTACGTAGCCCAACGTCTTGACCGCACACTGAGGAACATCCAGATGAATCGACGCCCGCCCTACAATCGTCGGTAGCAGGGTAACCCAAGAACCGCAAACCCTCGAGTCAAGGCAGGCAGCGGTGCCGTCTACGGTGCTGACCAACGACCTCTCCTCCGGGGGCGTGAAATTCTCAATGATGAGGGAGACAAGATAATCCAGCTCAGAGGCAAACGTCTCGCTAGGCTGTGATACCTGATACTTGATCGCGGGTCCCTTGGTGTGTCGACGTCGCCGCCTTGTCTTGCCTTGTTCGGCGGTTGGTTGGGCATGAAGACGGGGGGGAGCTGGAGATTGAGGATCGTCGGGGACATGTGCTTTTCTTCTCCGGGGTTTGGTAGTCCCGATGCCCCCCTGGACGAAGATGGTCTGGCGGTGATAGCCTCCACATGTCCGTCCTGTTAACAGGCATTGCGAGCAGGACGGGGACTTTCGATCACACTTTTGACCTGGTTATCACAATCTCCTGGCTTGCCAACAGATGGCACAGACTTACCGCTATTCGCCGAGTAGCACAGGTGCTGCATCTCTTGGCTTTCCTAAAGTCGCTCATGTCCGCTTTTGGCACAGATATAATACCCTGCGCAACCTTTATTCCTGGTCTTTCTGCTATTTTGTATTTTGGGGCTCAGCGGATAGGATGGAGAGAGCTGTGCTTGGTATCAGGGCTTGGGCATGTTGTGACCGCGAGTTCCGAGTCGTCGTCCTTGCATTCATGGCTTTGGCCGAAAAAGGAAACAGTTCGCGTTTGAACGTGCAGCTGTTCCCACGTAATAAGATGGCCTGGGGGTAAGCCACATGGGGAAGATGACCAATGCTCACAGTAATCAAAGTCAATGGTGGCATGATATGGTATCAAGGGAAAGGGAGTGTGTCATTGTATGTAGTTCTGCGTTTGTGTCTGGGTTCATTCAAGTTTGTGGTCATCTAAGGGTGAAGAGACTGATTCTTCAATCGCATATAGACGTTATCTCTCTAGGTTAGTCGTTCTCAGCTGTCCTGAAATATGGATGCTATTATACAGTAAGCAATACTCACTTCAGTCCGAAACAATCAAGAAATTGCTCTTGTCATTGTCATCAAGTCTCCTGTAAGTCGCCGCTGGCGCATCAGGCACCAAAGCGCCAACACACACATAGCTAGGCCTTGACATATTGCTGCCTTCGATCAGCGGAAACCTAACAGATCCCGGCTTGATTTTAGCCAAGATTGACTGGAAGAAAGGCCCTCAAAGACCTTTTCCTGGCGGGTCTGTTTCACATCTTTTTTCTTCACATGCTATCCCATCAGGGGTAAAGTAAAATGGCTCACCTATGCCAATAGCAATTTTGATAGCAAATGGGCCGTATCTGGAACGACAAGCCCCTACGAGGCTCTTGTGGCCATATACTCCATCAGCCACCTAAATTGCAAAGTGGTACGTGAGGGAGGTATTTCCCGCTTGCTTGGCTTGAGTCAATTGGTGCGGCTCGATATGGAAATGGGTTGATGAAAAGGCTACCGGGTAGAAGGACGTTTTGATTTACAGGGTGGGATGTCTAGACAACTTCCATCCTGTGACAGGCTTTACTGCTTCTCTCATCTTCAGGATGGGATGTCTAGAGAATTTCCATCCTGTGACGGGGTCCATTGCTTCTCTCTGAAAGAAGACTCTAATCAACAAGGTCAATGACACTCACTTTCTGCGAAAACAAAGAGCATCTCATTCCGAGGATCTAGATGAACCGTTATGCCAGTATGAACTGTCCATAAGATCAGGGCTCTAGCGTAGTTGTGAGCATGTGTTTGATTATTGGAAAAGACGGGGGATGTATAGACACCATATGGATGGATGTAATCGATATGAGAGATATAGGAGATAGATGACCAGTAGAGTCGAGGGTTGTTGCCTAGTAGATCTCTTATATGGAGGTAGTATTGGAGATACGGTATACGTTCGTCGGTGTGGGGAATGATCCCACACAGTCTCACCTGGGGAGCGCTCTTCACCCATGGTTCATGCAAATGACCCAACGATGCAAATTTTGTACGTACCTGTGCTGATGAAACAGGGGCGGTCTGTCCGGGATATCAGCCATCATCAAGAAATGGTACCCTAAATGCCATGCCATTTTGGCAGCTCTTGCCCTCTCTCGACCTCAATCTCGATATGGGATGTCTGCTATTTCCAGAAGTTTCTTACTCATGAAATAACCAAAACCTGGAGAATCAGATTCGTGTAAACCCCCTTGACATCAGACCAGTTTTCATACCATAAGTGGCGTCCTGATGGCCAAATCAATGAAGACGTGCTTGGTCATGAGATGGGATACGGCCAGGTGCTGTCAGCTTACATGAACACACGAGCGGCGTGCCCGGAAGTCCAGACAATGCAGATCGACCTCGCCCAGTGTGGCATACAGTATGTGCATCGTCGGGCTTTACGTTCTGGAAGCTGAGGCCAAACAAAAAGTGGAATATCAAGGATTGTGCCCAAGGGGAAATAAACGCATGATGGTGCCCAGGGGGAAAATATGGACCCTATTGATTTTTTTCATCGATTGAGGCCGATGTATGGGGTTTCTTCTCCATCGAGCCCCTGACTTTGCCATCAGACGGATGGGCCTGGAGAGAGTTGCCCATGGAGAGAGAGTCCCAGTTCTCCGAGGGTGGTGGATGGGTCGAAAAAAATGCGGTTCGCTAGGCACCAGTATTATTCTGCGGGTATTGGAGGAGTCAGCTCCATTTGATCAGCTTGGCAGCATCGCAAGCACTGGAGCAGAAATTGTTCAAGTAAGGGGTACAGAGAAGACTTGTCTTGCGGTTGAGCTGAAAATAGCTCTTCTCCATGATTCGTCTCGACCCAGAAATTGAGAGACATGATAGGGACTAGACTGAGGCAGCAGAGAGAAGGTTAGCTAGCTGTTACAGGTCGATGAGCGGATAAGAGACTTGATCCGGATTGTGAGAGCCTGAGACCCTGATTGATCGACAAGCGCAGGGAAATAAAGCACGAGGACATTGGGGGCAGCAAGACACGTCAGGCGGGAATAATTGTGAGCGGTACATGGAAACGGATCACGGTACTTGCTAGTAGCTCGAGTGTCCAGGCAGCCATATTTGGGATCTGAAGGCGAAGCGAAGGCGTGGCCACGATTCAGTTGCGCCGAGCGTGACGATGAAGCGAGCAGCTCTAGCGCCAGCTGAGCGTGACGAGGCCAAGCAAACGAGGGTCGAATCGAATTCGGCAATATTGCGGATTTGCTGGGATTGGGTGATTGGGTGTAGCGACCGAAAAGTCTTGCCCATTGGACTGACGACGTTGAAGGCGATTCTTCTTCTTCTCCAATTGAATTTGGCGCAGGCGTCGCGAGGCTGAAGCCGCGCAGGCGTGAAAAACAATTTTCCGCCCCATTCACCAAATCACTCTGCACGCTACGAGGCGCTAACACCAGCGACCATTGAAATTCTTCATCAGGGCAATCAGTCAAAGCCTTCGAGAAGCTGCATCGAAACCGCCAGAAGGCGAAAACCAAGTTCATACGGCGTCCTAAGCACTGACTCGGGGTTCCACGGCGCTCCATCTACCGCCTCGGCCGGCGCCTCGTCATTGGCCATAGCGCCCAAGAGGCTGCTCGGCAGGTCCCATCGCGCCTCCATCAGCCTCCATCACCGCGACGTCATCGGGGAGGGATCAGCATCAGGCAGAAGCATTTCGAGGACCCATGGCCCGATGGTTTTTTTTCTCTTCGCAGGGGGGCGTCTGATGCTTGTGCCTGCGCGCGCGCAGAAACTGTCCGATGAGGTGCAGACAGGCGAGGCAAGGGGTGCGCCGCTCGGTCTGCCTCCTCATCGCCAGCAAGGTTTTCGCACGCATCTCGGGGATATTTGTGAGGGAGATCGTGATGGCTAATGCTTCAGCATGGGCAGTCGCTAAGCCAGAGGGCGAGATGTCAATCTACGAGGCACGCGCGATCGGTGCTCTATTACTGCTTCGCCAATGGCCACAACGGCCGGTGGTGGCTCGATTCCTTGGCCCGATCGATGCTCCCCTGCTAGCCTCTAGTCAAGTGCCGTATTCCGGACCAACCGCCGCCACTCACAGCGAGGTTCTGGCGCCGCTGCCGAATCAAGATCGGAAGCCCTGCTTGGCACTTTGAGGCATAGCGCGCTCGTACCACTGCGTGTACTTGTGTGAAAACGCCTGCTTTACGCCGTGGCTGAGGCTAAACGGTGGCGGCCAGGGACTTGGGCCATTGTCATGTTGGAGAAACAGGAAAGTTTGGCAGAGGCAAGTACCCAAATCACTACATGGGCAGAAAGAGCGAGAAGCAGGGAGACCAACGGCCAGAGCGAAGGCGAGGCAGACGAACTCAACTCCCAAAACAGGATGAACGAGGCATGGTCGAGGCCCTATGCGGGGAGGAGATGGCACGATGGCTTCAAAACAAACCGATTATGCTTCCGGGATACGCACCGGTCTAGAACCCAGTTTCCCACGACGAGAGAAGCGATAAGCGCCTGCAGACGAGCGTGGCCTTCGGGCCTGGATTGTGGCACATGTCTCTGCTACATGTCTCGCCTGCAATCATGGCCGAGAACGTGCAGGGTCCCCCGAGTGCTGGGACGTCCGTTCTCGCTGTGCTGTGCTGAGCTGTGTCTCACAGCGCCCCTGTTGCTGAGGATACTGCCCATTGGAGCCGCAAGCATGCGGAGAACATTCCCCAGTCCCCCCAGAAGGGGGAAAAAAAGGAACCTGGCATCAAAATACGGAGTCCTCGTGCTCTGGGATGCCACCCATGCGCTACACAGTACATGTCGTAGTACTTGTACTTGGCCAGCTCTCCGTGTGCCGGCCACATATTCCGAGAACGGCTGCAAGGACACCTGCAGAAGGCGCCATCTCGGAGGGCCTCTTTTCGCATACGGCCGAGAGCAGCATCCGCGTCCGTACTGTAGGCCCGTCAATTGGCTCTTGCATTGTGCGCCTCTGTCGTGTGTGTTAGTGCAAAGCAGGACGATCTCCGAATCTACCAAACTTGTGTTAGGGTGCAAAACTCTATGGGAGGTGTGATGGGGCACTATGGACGTCATATCGACTAGCCTCCGTCGCGTGTGGATATTCCCTGCTCCAGCACCGACATGGTGAGACCCCGACTCTCCATTATTGCCTCCGCCGGCCGCATGCTAATCCTCAGGTGGCTTCTCTGCCTTTGTTGGGCGACTACTCGAGCGAGTCTAGAGTGGGAAGAAGAGAGACAAGGCTACTCGACCTTGGCACAGGTCAGAAGTCTCCGTTCTCTGGACGCTCCTGGTTATATAAAGCCCACGAGTTCGCCTTCCGGTCCCCAATCTTTTCCCCGACTTCACCTTCCCCATACTTTCTCCTCATCCTGTCCCATGTTAGCAAGTTTGTTCTCCGAATAGGCGGAACACAGGCTTGCTTCAACATACATCAATATGCCTGCCCACACCCATTTCTCGGAGGACCCTCCGCAGGTCCTCAACCAACGTGACTTGGACCTCGCCAATGAGCGGCTGAGGTCCGACGGCCAGGGTTCCAGCTCCGATAACATCGAGAAGCAGGAGGACGCTGGCCTCCCCACCGGTAACGCGAACAACCTGGAGAAGCTCGGCACCAACGACAAGTACGAGATCACCGAGGATGACTGTTACGAGGAGCTCGGATACTGCTTCCCCACGTGGAAGAAGTGGTTCATCCTGACGGTCATCTTCTGGGTTCAAGTGTCCATGAACTTCAACACGTCTCTGTACTCCAACGCCATCCCTGGCATCGCTGAGGAGTTCCACGTCAGCGAGCAGGCGGCGCGGTGCGGTGCCATGATCTTCTTGGTTCTCTACGCCTTTGGTTGCGAGCTCTGGGCGCCTTGGTCAGAAGAGTTTGGCCGCTGGCCGGTCCTGCAGCTCTCTCTGTTCCTGGTCAACGTTTGGCAGCTCCCTGTCGCGCTGGCGCCCAACTTTGCCTCCATCATGGTTGGTCGTGCTCTTGGCGGTCTCTCCTCAGCTGGTGGCTCCGTCACCCTGGGAATGATTGCGGATATGTGGGAGGCGGATAACCAGCAATACGCTGTCGCCTACGTCGTCTTCTCCTCTGTCGGTGGATCTGTCCTGGGCCCCATTGTCGGTGGCTTTACCGAGAAGTACCTGGCCTGGAGGTGAGTAGCCTAGCCATCATCGTTGCAACTTTTCTGGTTGACATCCGCTTACACTGCATTTACAGATGGTCCATCTGGGTCCAGCTCATTCTTGGCGGCTTCGTCCAGCTGCTCCACTTCTTCACCGTCCCCGAGACCCGAACCACCATCATCATGAACCGCATTGCCAAGAAGCGCCGTGAGGCCACGGGCCAGAACATCTGGGGACCGGACGAGCTTGTTCCCTTCCGGGACCGCTTCTCGGCCAAGGAGGTTCTCACCACCTGGGTCCGCCCCTTCAAGATGTTCCTCACCGAGCCCATCGTTCTGGTGCTCTCCCTGCTTTCTGGCTTTTCCGACGCCCTCATCTTCATGTTCATCCAGTCTTTTGCCCTGGTGTACCAGCAGTGGGGATTCGGCACTGTTGAGATTGGACTGAGCTTCATCCCCATCGGTATCGGCTATGTCATTGCGTGGCTCCTCTTCATCCCGGCCATCAAGCGCAACATCAAGGAGCGACAGGCCAAGCCCAACGACGAGCGTGCTCAGTACGAGTCCCGTCTCTGGTTCCTCTTGTACACGGCTCCTTGCTTGCCCATTGGCCTCATCGGCTTCGCCTGGACCATCCAGGGCCCTCCCATCCACTGGATCGGCTCTATGATCTTTGTTGCCATTGTCGGCATTGCCAACTACGCCATCTACATGGCCACGATCGACTACATGATCTGCGCCTACGGTCCCTACTCTGCCTCCGCCACCGGTGGTAACGGCTGGGCTCGAGACTTCCTGGCTGGTGTTCTCACCATTCCCGCCCTGCCCTTCTTCCAGAACATTGGCAAGTCAAGCGGACACAACCTGGAGTACGCTAGCACCATCCTGTTCTGTATCTCCTTCGTCCTGGTCGTGGCAGTCTATGTCATCTACTGGAAGGGCCCGGATCTGCGTCACAAATCGCCCTTTGCTCAGCGGCTGGCCGATGCTCGTATGGAGCAGACTAATGAAGGCCGCCACGGCAGCATCTCGTACGATCCTGCGACGCGCCGATGTAAGTTGATGCCCACCATTGCACTCACCTCGCGACTCGATGCTAATTCGCCTTTGACAGCTTCCGCATCAGGCGCTAGTAACCTGCGGCCCGACAACACCAGGCGCTACAGCCAGCAGCATCGCTTCTTTGGCGAGAGCAGAGTCACCCCTCGGGGTACTCCCAGAGGAACGCCCGCTGCTAGCCGGCGGCCGTCTGTCAACGTTCCTGCGAGAAAGTAGAACTTTGGCCTCGAAAAGGGTGTGGGAGGGGAGTTGCATATATAATTGCATGGCTTGGACATGACTTACGGGATAGGGGGATACCTGTATTATTTTCGCTTGCCTTTTTTTTCTCTTGTTATCATAATACCCCGGTCTTTGCATAGCATGGGCATTACGGATGTTTTTTATCGTGCTATAAGAGGGCAGTTTGAGAAATGGGTAGCTTGGGTTGGCCTTTTGTGATGCAAGCCCTTTCGAATGAAGAATAAAGGAGTAACGGTATCTTACAAACACATGCCCACTCGTCTGCTGCGTGATGCTGCATGTGATTATGTATGTCATGCTGCGTGTAATGCAGGAGTGCTTCCTGCAGGATTCTGACAGCCGCAAGCGTGAGATGCCTCTATAAGCCGTCTTCATCATGTCAGCCTGCTTCAACATGCCCAGGAGGATGAGGATTGAGGATTGTGTAAAGAGCTGGTGGCTACTTGTGAATCTTTTACATGCCTTACTTATAAGAACGCCTAGCCTACCAAATGCGTACATCGCCGACACCATGACTTTTGAGGTTGGATGGTTGTCGGTACGGAGAACTCAAGAAGGATAAATGGAATTATCACGAAAATAGTTTCCAGTCTGGGCAAGATTAGGTATTCAAACTCCGCAAGTATATCCGACTATGGGCGGAGGAATGCTTCTCCCCCGCGCAGGATTCTGCCCTCGCTGGATGAGGGAGGTTATGAATCCCCTGGGGTTAATTTGTCGATAACCACAATACTTATAAAGCAGTCTCAAAATTCAATGTTCATCATGCGGGTTCAGTATACATACAGAAGATCAATGTGACTATACTCTGGTTATTTGCTGAATGACCGACTTGTGTAACCGTCTTGGCCATTCTTCTGGCCAGCGCATCCTACAATCTCATTCCTCCCCCCTCCCCTTCAAGCTGCATAACACCCCCTCATCAAGAGCACACAAACATGGCACAGATTCACGGCCACTGCGACCCCCAATTCGAGGCGCTCAAAGCCCTCTTCCAGAAGAACCTCGACTCAAAAGCAGAGATTGGCGCCTCCATCACGGTAAACCTAGGCGGCAAAAACGTCGTCGACCTATACGGCGGCTTCACCGACGAAGCGTGTACCCGGCCCTGGGAAGCCGACACCATTGTCGGCGTGTGGTCGTCTACAAAGGGCGTGACGAGCCTTGCCCTCCTGATGCTCATCGATCGCGGCCTGGTCGATCCTTATGAGAAAGTTGCCAAGTACTGGCCCGAGTTTGCGGCGAACGGCAAGGAGGATATTGAGATTCGGCACCTGCTGTCGCATACCTCGGGGCTTTCTGCGTGGGAAGACAGAATCACCCTGGAAGAAATGTGCAATCAGGATTTTGCGGCGAGTAAGCTTGCTGCTCAGGCGCCCTTGTGGAAGCCCGGCAGCGCGTCTGCATATCATGTTTTTACTTTTGGCGTCCTCATCACGGAGGTCATACGCCGCGTCACGGGAAAGTCCCTGAAGGAGTTTGTCGCAGAGGAGATTGCCGGCCCCTTGGGCGCGGATTTCCAGATTGGACTAAAGAACGAGGATATCACGAGGACGAGCGATGTGATTCCGCAAAAGGATGAGCCGTCGCCGGCGAGGGGATTGCCCGAGGAGGGATCCGTGGCGTTCAAGTCGATGATGCATCCGGGCTTGGACACGGGCATGCTGCAGAGGGAGGAGATTCGGAGGGCGGATCTGGGGTCGCTGAACGGGTTTACGAATGCGAGGGGGATGAATCGGATCTTTTCCGTGTTGGCGCTGGGCGGAGAGGTTGATGGGGTGCGGCTGTTGTCGCAGAAGACGATTGAGCTTGTCTTTGAGGAGATGGCGGATGGGATCGATCTGGCGACGGGGATGCCGGTGAGCTGGGGGGTTGGGTATGCGCTTGGGGGAAGAGGGTTTGTGGACTTTATGCCGACGGGGAGGATTGGCGTGTGGGGAGGCTGGGGGGGTTCGCTGTTTGTGTTTGATGCGGATAGGGGGCTGACTTTTACGTATGCGATGAACCAGATGTCACATCGGATCATGGCGGAGGGGAGGGAGGGCCAGTATGTGAGGGCTGTGTATGAGTCGTTGGGGGTGGAGGTGTGATGGTTGCCGAAGGGGATGCTCTGATGTCCCCTGGATATTATTATACTGGTGCGTGTTAATCACCTCGAGATTTTGATTATATATTGACCTAGGTTATGAGGTTTTAACTTCATCTCTCTCTCTCTCTTTCACATGGCAAAGAGAGGCATGAGCCCCCTCTTCCTCCTCCAGTGATTTGTCGACTGGAACAGCTCAAAACAGCCCTTGAGCGTCCACCCCCATCTATCAAGAAACTCTACAGTTACTTCCCAAGCGGCCAGATCCCAGGGCTCCCCCCACAAGATGAAGCCCGATTCCTTCTGACTGCCGTCCAGCCCAACCATCCAATGGCATAGACTATCCGGATCGTATCGGTGTTGCTCAGCTGCTGCGCATGAGCCGGCTTCGAGGCGTAGCAGGTTATCTCTCATTTCTGGAAACGGCAGAATATCAATCCATGGATGGTGTGGCGTGGTCCTCTGCAGAGATGTAGGCGAAAGGCTCTTTGGCAATGAGATGTGGTGGTGTTGGTGACGGGCTGGAAACTCCCGTGTGAGGGAGGATGCCCGAGGTGAGAACGGAGAAGGTGTATCGTCGTCTAGAAGGTCCGTCGGCGATAACCCAACTATGGAGGTAATGGTGCCAAATGCCCGCATGATGTTGAACTGCATGATGCACAAGAGGTGGTCGTTGGAGGGCGAAGGCTTCGCGTGGCGCCCGAGCTTGAGGGCCCGGAATTGCGTAGCTACCGCGGCCGGGTCGGTGTACCAGGGAGCTGGTTCGATGCGTGTATCTACATTAGGGGGCCTGTTGGCAGGTCTCTGTTTACAGTCATGGTGACTATCATCATGGTCCGCGTATCCCGTTGGTGTCCGACAGAGCACGACTTGGAATTCCCTTGCCGGGGAGGGGGAGGAGGCATGGCCCAGGTCTAAACACTCAGCTGTTGTCTCATTGACAGCTTTGGCCGGTGTCTCTTCCAATGTCCCGAGCATCCGCTTTCTCCTCAGGCGATATGCTCTCTGATTCAGCCTGTTCTGCACTCTTCGCCGCAGGTTGGGGTTCGACGTGCCTTTCCATTCGTCCTCTGCGTTGAGCATGATGGGACTTTGATGAGAAGCAGACTGAATAATACCGTACTGAAAGTGGATGTTACGCAGTTGAAGAAGAGAGATGGAAACGCTGTATATGGCGGCTCATCCCTGTTATGGCTCTCCTTCTTACGCTAGTTGATGCACTCTGCTTACACCTTGACTGCGATTGGTGCGGTGAGCCTCCGCAGGCAATTCCGCCAGGTTTGGGCTTAGACTTGATGAAGTAGCTGCTGATACGGAAGTCTTTGAACCGACTAGGTAGGAAGAGCTGCCGTGTCTAATTGGGTCGTCCTTATACCAGATATTTATTGTCTTCATCGAGGATGTAGTTTATGGAAAACCAAAGCCTAAGGTCATTGTAGCTGATACACGTTCACTGAAAGAATTACATGCCCCGAACTCTCTTACACCAGAGTTCATCAACGGATGCCGAGGAGGCCAAGGCATGGCCACGAAATCTTCATCGTAACCCGCAAAAGACATACGACATATTTATTGGTTCACAACAATGGCCCTATGAAGCATCAACCTTTAACAAATCAACAATGAGCAAACCAACAGACTTTGCAATGAATCCGGAAAACCTGCAGCCAACGCCTATATCCGGAATATGAAGCATTGTGAGCGTTTCACAAAGACAAACACCACGGCAATGAAGGTCTGCCAGCCATCGTACGTTCATTCGCATCACCAGGGGAAACAACGCTCCATTGGACCACTTGCTTGACATCGCCTGAACATGCTCACAGTACTCCGTACACCCTTCACCAATACCTACCTGTTGGGCGATTGAATATACACACACGTGACTTTCAACCATACGCACATAATAGCGCCTTCTTACATACTATTTCTGCTGACATTCAAACACGCACATACACAATGGTTCAACCATGCGCACACATTAGCGTTATCCGACATACCTTTACGAGTACATGACAGGATATGGGACAAACAGATACGCATATACAGAAATGCTCCGTGATAAGCGATGGAATCAGTGGCCCCTAATCTCTTCAAGGAGCCAATCTCGAGTTGATCCGCCCGCAGTGGGAGAGAAGACGCCTGATGTGTCCTGCGCTAGCACACGTCTTGAGTCGTATTCCCGATTTGGCAAACGACGATGTCAAGGAATATGGAGAACCAGGAATCGAGATACTGTGTTGGTGCCTTTCACTTACTGTGCTATTGCATAATGAGAATACGATGTCGTCGAATGCCAAATCAGGAACTCGAAAAGCTTCGTATGACAAGACGATGATACGACGATTGAAGAGAGGAAATTAGACAAGTTGAAGCCTATATATAAAGAAGCATTGCCCATCATGGACACCGGAAGCCTCTCGCGCAGCACCAAGCAGCCATACCAAACAACCAGCACATTTCATTAACACAAACGCCTTTACTCCTATCCTCCAACATGTCCAAGAGAGTCAACAACCTCCCCGGCGCTGCTCCCCCGCCCAAGAGCCTGCTGGGCTACCATCGCCAGCTCGCTCCCGCAGCTGCTGTCAAAGTCAGCCCTCTCTGCCTCGGGGGCATGGGCTTTGGCACGGCCTGGGAGGACATCATGGGCAGCTGCGACAAGGAAAAGTCATTTGAGCTGATGGACTACTTTTACAGTCAGGGGGGCAACTTTATCGACACGTGAGTTTGCTTGCTCTCTGACAATGTGAGCCGTTTCCAAGATATGCTGATGTTGCAAGGCTTCAGGGCAAACAACTACCAGAACGGCGAGTCTGAGGCAATCATTGGCGAATGGATGAAAACCCGTGACAACCGGGAAGAAATCATCCTCGCCACCAAGTACACGTCTCCTTGGCGGCTGGCTGAACAAGACACGCGGATCCAGTCCAACTTTGGCGGAAACAACAAAAAGTCCTTGACGGTTGCCATTGAGGCCAGTCTCAAGAACCTGCAGACATCCTACATTGACCTGGCATGACTACCCCTTCTGCTGCCTCAGCCGTATGCACAAAGACTAAACGATACTTCCACAGTACTACGTTCATACCTGGGACTTTACCACAAGCATCCCAGAGCTCATGCACTCGCTGCACAACCTCGTCGTCGCCGGCAAGGTCCTCTACCTCGGCATCTCCAGTACCCCAGCATGGGTCGTCGCCAAGGCCAACGAGTACGCCCGCCAAAAGGGGCTCACCCAGTTCTCCGTCTACCAGGGCCAATGGAACGCCGCCGAGCGAGAGATTGAGCGCGATGTCATCCCCATGTGCATCGACGAAGGCATGGCCCAGGCGCCCTTTGGCGTCTTGGGGATGGGCTACTTCCGCACCTCTGCCCAGCGGGCTGCCGAGAAGGAGGAGGAGAGGGACGGACGAAAGGTGCCCTTTGTCGACAAGCCGCAAAAGACAATCATGGCAGACACGCTGGAGAAGATAGCCGTGGCGCGCGGCACGTCCATCACCAGCATTGCTCTGGCTTGGGTCCGGACCAAGGCTCCTTATTGCTTTCCCATCCTGGGCGGTCGCAAGATTGAACAGCTCAAGGCGAACATCGACGCGTTGGCGATTGACCTCAGCGAGGAGGAGAAGGAGACGATTGAGAGCGCGGTGCCGTTCCACTTTGGATATCCGCAGGAGTTTTTGGGTGGCGCCAAGGGTGCTATATATCCGCAAGATGCGTGGACGACCAAGAGATTGGGCCACTTTGACTGGGTGACGCCGCCACAGGTACGTTGATGCTGATGCGGGAGGGTGTGAGAATGCTAACGGCTGGTAGGCACCGAAGCCTCACCCTCTGTGAATCGTGGGAACTGGAAAGTCATGCCAGGAGGCTCTGGCTGGTTGTGTATCTACTACATATGAAGCGAGAATTTGTCAGTTATAGGTTTGGTGTCTCAATTTGAACCAAGCCTATTCAGCAGCAGCTCCGGTTCCTGATCTCCTCGAGTTCAACTCGCCTATCCTACCGTCACCTCACACCGACGAATTTGGGGTAGGTATGTAATTATCCGAATAGCACCAAAAGCTCTCCCATACTGTGTTAGTTTGTCTGAGCCAAGCCACAAGCCGAGTCCTCTTACATGTCGTGCGAGTAGCGAGCGAAAGCCGAAGCCTTATTTAACACGCAGAGAGAAGCTCACGAGTCCTTTTCCTCGACAGCTCACTCATTCATAGCCTCTTCCCTCTCTACTTTCATTACGCAGGAACAGTAACTGCAATGCCTCCGGATGGCAACTTCAGCGTGTTTGCTCTCTCGTCAAAGCCGGGCGAGAACCAAGCCGCTTCGGCGCCGCAAGTAGACGATCTCGGGCGAGAGCCACGGCAGCGGAAGCGGCATGTCAAGTCTCGCGCTGGATGCTTCACGTGTAAGTCATCCAGAGTAAAGGTATGGCTGCAGCCTCCGTTAAAAACACTGTAGTGCTCGAAACGGGTAACATTCTGCTCACAACGCAACCAGTGCGACGAAGCCCGCCCCGTCTGCTCGAGGTGCTCTTCCAAAAACTTGCCCTGCCATTATGAGTTTGGCATCATGGCGATGCTGCCAAAGCTCTCCCGACAGCAAATCTACAACCGGAGAACCGGGCCTGGTCCCATCCCCAAGTCTCTGGACCAGGGCCTCGACATGTCCAGTCTGCAGCTCATGTATCATTTTGATCATTACACAGCGCCAACCCTCGCTTTCGGCAGCTCCGTATGGAGAGACGGCGTTCTTCCTTTGGCGCTGAATGTCTGTAAAACGCATGTTTCCCCCCATGATCCAGCCATGTTGACGCTCCGTTAGAACGAAGTTGTGATGCACGCCGTGCTCATGATTGCGGCATCCCACCAACGAAGTCTCTCGCCCAACAACCCAGCGCACAACAAATCCATGGCCTATCATCTCGACCTCACCCTCTCCGGCTTCAGAGATCTTCTATCCCAAGGCACCGACGACTTCAACCACGACGTCATCATCGCCTGCGCCCTTCTCCTAGTGCACTACGCCTGGTCGATGCCCTTTTTCGCCTACGAAGACGACAAGATCGACATGAAGACCGAGCCCGACAGGCTGCTCAAATTCGCCGCCGGCCTCAAGACGGTCATGAAGGCCATGAAGGAGGACAAGAGATACACAACCGGCATCTTCAAAGCGCCCATGTCCTACGACAGCATCGACGAGTTCCGGCGCTTCGAAGCGACGCTAGGCGAGACGTTTGTCTTTGACGACTTCTTCTTCAGCGCCCGAACGGTTCCTCTCACCGCCGTCGACGGCTGCTGCTTTGATTCTGGAGACTTCAACGCCTGTGACCGACTTACACCGCTTCTCCGAACCATGGATGCCGTTTCAAAGGGCCGGGTCATCAAGCCTTTGCTGCCGCAGATAGAGGTCTACACTCTCTTTTGGCCTGCGAAAGCGTCCAGGGAGTTTGAGGAGGAGGTTTCGCAGAACCAGACGCAGGCTCTGGTCATTATGCTCTGCTTCTACGCCACTGCTTGGCGGCTTCTTTCCAGGGAGGTTTGGTGGGCCACGACGCGCACAAAGGTCATGTGCGAGTCTATCTTTGAGCACTTGGACAGGCATAGAGATGAGATGTGGACGGCGGATGTTGACAATATTCGTTGCTATTTCAGGTTTGCGCCGAACGGAGCTGGTGGGTGGGAAATTGATAGTCCAAATTTCAACTGCTCCGAATAGAGGGGGGAGGGCGTTATCATGGCCTCCATCTCAAAGAAGCACACACACACACACAATCATTAATTCTTCATCTCTTTGTTTCTGGCCAGTGTAAAAGAAAATTGTGAGCATTCGTGTAAATCATAAGCGGAGCAAAAACAAAAAGGGCAAAAAATGAAGCGACCACGCCAGGAGTCGAACCTGGAATCTCTAGAGAAGGTGTTGAGAACCGAAATCTAGCGCCTTAGCCATTAGGCCACGCGGCCGATTTGATATGTTTGAGCGAACCCTATCGGTGTACATAAAGCAAGCAAATTTTCAACAGCGGCCAGTGTCAAGGATTGTAGACACATGGACTCTATAATGAGCTGGATATAGATGCTAGGTCTGTTTACTCAGTGAAAGCGACTACGGCTCTCCCTTGCAAGCTGGGACAATGAGGATTGGTCGTGCCGGAACCGCTCGACGGAGGCGCCGGAGCTACGCCGAGACCAATGCCGATGCCGATTGCCTGTTCCGGTAATTGTCGCGGAGCTGCTTTCACAAGGATTTGTAGGCAGAATACGAACTGGAATCCGTTCATGTATAAATAAGACCAGCTCGTCATGCTTCTATTATGCATTCAAATGAAAATAGCCATGCATCGTACAATGCCATATACCCATCAGCCCAGGCAGCATCCAGAATTACAGGCATAACGTACATTCAACAAGTCCCAAGAACCAATCTAAACCACAAAAGACAGACAGGAAGAACATGCAAAGAGTCGCACCCAAGAAGCCAAGAAGCAAACCATGAAAAGAAACAACGAAACGAGAACCCTCCATCTATCTTGCTCCATCCCTCCTCGCACGCACACATCTCACCTCCCCCTCCCCCAACAACAAGAGCAACAACTCAGTGATCCTCCACATTCTCATCTCGTCCCGGATACATGATGTCCTGGATGATCACAGCACGAACATGGTTCACAAAGACAAAGATGAAGATGGTAAAGATGCAGCAGCTCATACCAATAGTAACCCACTGCAGACTAGGACTAAGCAACTCCTTGGCAATGGAAATCGTCGCCAGCGTAAAGCCCGTGTTGGGAAACACCATGGCCCACCAGCCCAGATGGAAATACTTTGGCGGCGACGAGACAACAGCAATGACGGCAATGCCAAACCACCAGAAGCTCAGCGCCCACAGGAACACGGCGACGAGGATAGCCACGACCTGGATGACGCTCTTGTCGATGCCCAGCTCGCTGATGCCCTCAGGCACGCCGTTGGCCATGCCGACCAGGGCCAAGGCGGTAAATGCCGGCGGACCGACGCACATGAAGAGACCGGGTCGATGCTCCCGGTTGGGCAGGCCGAACTGGAGCAGGCGCCCAATCATGTGGGCGTACATGAGGATGGCCACAGACATGCCGAGGCCCTGGCAGGTGAGGCCGGCGACTAGGATGGGCATCGCATCGAACTCGGGCTGCGTGCCCGCGATGACGGATGCAATGGTTCCTGAAAGCATGATGGGGAAGATGGGCAGAATCAAGGTTGGCATGAAGGTCTTGAGGCTGAGGTTATGGGCCGCAAAGACGTAGCTGTACTGGCCCAGGGCTAGAACCGCCGTCAGGGCGACGTACACCCAGAATGCAATCTTGACGGCAGGTTCCAGTATCGGATGGTCGTCCGGTATGGCATAACGCTGCGTGCTCGTGATGATGGTGGCCAGAGACAGGAAGAATGTGGGGACGAAGAAGCCTTCACGGGGATGAGTGATGGACCGGACAAACTCTCCGGCGTGTAGGAAGAAGCGAGCCATCATGGCCATTGTCACCAAGGAAAAGATGATGAGGTTGATAATGTATACGACTAAGCCAATCACCCTTTCGCCCGCGAACTGGTATGGCTGTGCGTAGATGAGCAGGGAGAGACCCCCCGTGCTCATGGGCAGAGTGTACCACGCCCATGTGAAGTGCTGAAGCCTCTGTCGGATAGGAAGCTTTGGTCGGTTCGGGTCGTTTATGTCGACGGCATGAGGGAATGCCGCTTTCATCTCTTTGTCGTGGCGGGCGGACCGCTCGTCATCTGGGACGGGAGTGTTTGTGCGAGTGACATCGCCAGAGAAGGTTCGCGTGTGGCTGGATACGAGGTGTCCCCTTTCAACATCGCTGTCGTCCATAGGACCAAATGGTCTCGTCATCTTTTTCTTGTAGTTGTGGTCGATTCTATCAGGGGGTATCGAAAAGCAAAACTGTTTCCTTGGACGGGTATGTGCTGTGAGAGAGCCCAGCTAAAGCGGCAAGTATAAGTCAAACAAAAAAGTCTCAGAGCAGTATCAAACGAGAGCTCATCAAAGGAATGTCTAGAATGGAAATTGGAAGAAAAGACTTTTGTTTTTTTGTTCTGTTTAGACACTTCCTTCGAACAAGCCCTCGGCCACCGTTCGAGGACCTTTCATATCTAAGTACTACTCCTGCTGCGCACAATCTCTCTCCACCCCGGGGTCTGTTTGCTCTTGGGCCACTTTGACGAAATTCAAGACCCTTGCCCTCTCTCTTACCCCCCCGGCAGCTCCCTGACATCCGGTGGCCCCCTTCGAAGGGACAAGCAAAGAACGGGCAGATGGCGAATGGAGATGTGCTGCGCACAGAGGGTCTGACTCAAGAGAGTTGCAGCAAAAGCTCAGACGTCGCAATCAAGGTCCATCCGTCTCATGGCTAAGAAAATAGGTGTCTCCCATTCGATGAGTTCGATGCGTTTTGTCAGGTCTCCAGAACAAAAGCTACGTCGGTTATTCCGCCCGAGGGCGTCTCTGCAGCAGTATCAACATACGATGCCTCGTCCATATCGAACAACCGTAATACTCCCCCCCCCCCCCCCCCCCC